AAAAATTGGTATGTAAATATAGGTAGGTCATTAAACTTCTACCATTTCTGAATTCCCAATCATTCCTCACCCACAACTGCCTTCATTCGCAGGAAAAAACTGCAATAGATCCATAAGAGATCCAATAGTAGTTCATAGGCAGGTGTCCTACAGACAGAAAAAAGATTTTTTTTTTAAGTCCAGAGTTTAAATTTTATGTCTAGAATACTTAGTAAATTATTTCAGAGCTTGAATAACTAGTATTTATTGAGCTGCTCTTGGGTTTGTGCATGGGTAGGAGTATAAGCTGCATTCCTGCTTTGTCAATTTGGCACAGGAAATCAGAATCCCCCTTGTTAGCTTATGAATAATTTTCCAATCTACTGAGCAACTGCAGTGGTCTCCAGCTGGTAATGCAGTTCTACAAATATAAAGAAGATATAAGGAAGATTAATCTAAAGTTCTGGTGTATGACAAATCCAAAGGTTTTACTGGAGATAATTAAATGATGAAATACAGACAATTAACTGCCAACATCAAAGGATTCCATGCAAAGAAAAAACAACTGCAAAGATCTCCAGCTTTCTTGTTTGAAGATTTAGGCTGTTTGGATTAATGAAAGAGTTTATAAAAATGTCAACTTTACTCCACAACAAACCAACCCAGAACACCTGGATTTCAGCACTTGAAGCCTTCTTGCTTAAGAAACAGGTAGGAATTACGGATCCACTATGCAGAAATGGAGAGACACAGAACATTACCGAGGTGAAGGACGTACCAGTCAGATCAGGACTGTGATTAGCTGAGCAAATTCAGGCAGGCATTTCCTCAGCAGGGGCCGGCGTATGACAGGACTGTGCTCACTTGATGGATACAACTGCGGAAGGGAAGGGGCTGCTGCTATCCTCAGCAAGTGAAAATGAAGACAGAACTGAAGTCACTTGATGCAACCTTTCCATTTTCACCTAATCTATCTTTTTGTTCTTTCACTCTCTTCTCCCACACCATCTCTGGCCAACATTGATGCTTCTAAACAAATCAGACTTCAGATGTCTTGTACTTGAACAATTTATACCATACAAAAAGCTGAGAACTACATTCCTTCAGAGTGCTGGCAAAATCTAACCTGACAAAGCAGTGTATCTTGAAACTCAGGTTTAGAGAAAGGGATGTTTTCTGGGTTAATGAGCTGTGAAAATGCAAATTGAGATCACTAGGTGTCATCAGAAAGAGTAAATGCTAATTTTAGAGGCATCTAGTGTGGCAGTTTTCCGCCAGAACTTTTATCCACTGCATGAAGACAATATGTGATGACATTTTACAAATTTCTGGGCAATAATCTCTAAGAAATTAACGCAAATGTATATCGGATAAAATGTATTTCAAACAAAATGTACAGGAAAAAGTATTCTACAGAAGTTACTATTAGTTCATTTAATGAAAATCATCAATAAAAATACCTTCCAACGTGAAAATATGAAAAGTTCATTTATTTCCATAGGCAACCTAATTCAGAGTACAAAGTGATGTGTATTTCTCAAAACTGTCACTGTACCTTTTACATAGCTTTAAAGTAACTGATCTAAAAGTTGATACAAGAATAATTTTGGTTTTGAAGAGCTGTCCAATAAACCAGATATACAGTAATGCCATGCTATGACAGTTCTATTTATGAATCACGGCTGACACAACATTATCACGTTATAAATCTCATGAGAATTTTAATGTTTTACAATCAGAACATAAAGCTGCCACTAGTACAGACTGTACAATTAGACAAATAAACAAGTATTAAATATTTTGCACAAGGCCTGAGCTCACTATAACACATTTTGATTTACAGCTTCATCTCAGAAATCTGTACAGCAGTTAGACCTGTTTCAGAGAACTTAAAGACAATACAACTTTAGGGCTTATTTGTTATGTTGATACAAGGGTGAGGCCTGAAAGGCAAGAGGATTTGGTGTACGAATCCAAGGTTTTACTGCCTTGAGTAATTTTCTTGCAAAGCAGTCAAAACCTAATGGAAGGTAAGGTACAAGACAGAACCTCACCTGAAAATCAGCTAACTCATCTGAAATTCTCCAGACAGCTTTCCTCACAGCTTTTCAAAGTAAAAGTTTACAATGAATATATAAAATGCAGCATATCTCTTAACAAAGAAAAAGAAGGGTTACATATACAACAGGGTATTTTTTTCTGTACTCCCCCTCCCTATTTCTTTTATTGGAAATGGCACAAATCAGCAATATCCCACCCACCCCAATAAAAAACCCCTAATCAATAAGCAAACGTCACTCCAAAGTCCAAAAACTTCATTGTAATGCAAGATCCAGTAATGCAAGATCCAGTGTTCATAAATTTCTGTATTAAAAACTTTCCTTTTCTGCTCAAGTCACACAGATGTAGGCAGACTAAGCCTGTATTATTTATAATAGAGAACACAAATATCATATCATCATTCTTAGCCTGTATGGAAGCATTATAGAATTTGATTCAAATCTAGCTTCTCATTTAGTAGCTGTTTTTTTGGTGCAGTTGAACTGAAAAATCCAAAAATCCTATAATCTAGAATAGATTCATACTTATCTATCTACAGACACAGATAACATTACAACAGGGGTTATAATACAAAAGTCAACATACATTTTTCTTACTTTAAAAGGCAATCAGGGTATTTGTTAAGGTTCCCCATAAATGTGAACCAGTTGCTGCTAAAAAGACAAAACAGAAAAGGAAAGTTTTAAAGAATAAGGCTTGAAATGTTGTGCACCTACACATCCAAAAATTCAGCCTTGGGGTACTCAACACCTATGTAAGGCCACAACTTCCCCACAACATTTCTTACTCACAGTGAGGAGAACACAGTATCTTCATTAAAACAAACCTGGGCGTTCTACCCATGCTCCCAGTAAAATTTCTCTTCCCATCTCCCAGATAATTGATGGACTCCTTTACGTTTCAAAAGACTCCTCTGGTACTGCTGCCCTCCTGCATAAGCAAGTTCCAAGGGCTGTTCTGGGCCTTATTCACACCATTTGTGTGATGAAAAGGAAGATCAGTTCCCTCCTCCCGTGACACCTGTGCCGTTTCATTCCCAATTTCTCTCAGGAGTCAGAACTAGGGGTTTCTAAGCTGATCTGAAACTCAGTGGTTTTAAGGCTCTCCATCAGCCTAAAGAGAGAAGGTTTTCCAAGCCTCTTTAATATGATCCTTCCCTCTAGCAGGATTAGTTTGCTTTCTGTGACTGAGAGGATGCTTCAGACACTTTCATACTTAAACCCAAATGGAACCAAGAGCACTAATATGGAAAACACTTCTGTCTTGGTGCACTCATGTCCATTTAGCACACACCAGAGCAGCCGAAGTACAACTGATGTAAGATGTGCAGCTGTTTTCACTTATCTTCTCCTTTTGTAGCAAATAAAATATAGATGAATCACTTAAAGAATAAGAACTTACTCCCTTACCTTTACTTCCCCTTTACAAATGAATGTAAACTATATGGGCTGGGCACTTCAGCCCAGACCCTACTCTCATTTCCACAGTAGAATGAAGACATGCTCACAGTGGGTGAGAAAAGCGGGTGCACAGCAGGTGCCACGATCATTTGACAGGCTTTCCCATTTTTTCCTTTAAATTAGGTTGAATATGAAGGGCAGAAATTTAGTGTAATTTACAGTCTTCCTCAAGGCATTGTAAGGAATAACTTTATTACCACGTTACTATTTCATTAACAGAATTTGTAGTTTCTTAATCAGGTACCAATTTCAAACCTGTGTTCTCCATTTTAGTTTACATGAGGACTAGGTAGACCTTCTGCTTCAATCCGAGCTAGATGTAGCACTGTTTTCATCAAAGTTCAGCCATAGGAGGCTCATGGAATACCCACATTTTGTAATATTGTCCCTTCCCATTTGTCTTTCCCAAAAACTGCTCTCAAACAATTCACTCTGGCTACAAAACAAGTCTTCCAGGCTCTTGCAGGGCCTCAGAATGGTGACTTGTATGTAGAGGGATCAGCTGGCCAAGGTTTCCTAAAGAAAAACTCCTGTAGCAGGAGCCAAGTGGCATGCAGCCATGGTGACCTACCTCTTACAAGTCCTCTTTCCTTTAAGTTAAGAAGAAATAATTTGAGAACTTCAAACACAGAGTTTCCTGACACACTAAGCAGGAAGCATCTATGTGGAAAAGGGATTGGACTCACTACTTTTAAATACAGTTATATATATTTTTAAATTTTTAAATAACTGGAAGATTTTGTTAGAGCTTTTATAAGCACCCTTTTCCGTTTTCTTTGTTGTTCGTCTACTCTGGGCATTCTGAAAATTGCAGCAAACGAGAAATCAAAGTTATGTTCTCAAATATAAATGGAAAGAAGTCCTATTGCATGAGTCAGATAAAGACCTTATTCCATTGTATTACCGCTTCCTAAAAGAGCCTTTTTAAATTTGAACCTGTAGGATTTTTTTTCAACTTTGTTCTTACAAAATAGATTATGTTCTGGTACAGCCCATGCCAAAAGCACATACCCCAAACCACACAGTTTAGGAGGTCTAGTATATGACATAAGATCAATTTTTTCACTTAACTTTCCCCACAATAGGTTAAACTAAATCCAGTTCTGAAAAGCTCCTAGTCCAGAGAGATCAGTGACTGAAATCCCAGATCTGGACACTGACTTTTAAGACTGCCTTTGCCATAAATGTATTAATTTAATACATTGTAGAGTCCTATGAGATGTTGTTTTTAACGTAAACTTATTTTCCAAATAATTTAGAGGAATACAGATTCAAGTAATTCTTCAAAGGCTTGCCTTAGGTTACCCTAACAAAACACAGCTTCCAAGAGTTGACATGAAAGAAGACATTAGTGTGATTGAGAGCACAGAGTGCCAGCAACTGAACTTAAATAGTTCAACAGTTCTAGTATTTTACTAAAATTTACATGGATATTTTAACATAACCTACAATGCTTACCATGAATATTAACAGCACATAAGCATCACAATGTATTATGCATTGTTTTCAAGACCATGAATTTATTGGTCCCAGGTATTTCAAAATAATAGGACTAATGCAGCAGCTATAACACATAAAGGATAATTTAAAAAATATGCTTAATGCTATCACCACTTAGAACTGTGACATACAACAAAATACAAGTCATATTTACAGCATAAGGCCCTTTGGTTTCTTAAGCAGCAAACAAAAGAAGAGTTTCTTCAGTGAAAGGCTTTGAAAAATAAAGCAGGTAGGCTTTCCATAAAAAAAGTAACTAGATCTTTCCTTCTCAAAATAACCATTTATAGTCTTCAAAATACTAGATAAGAAAGCTTTTGAAATTCTTAGGGAAAAACATTAAAACCCAACAGTAGTATCTGACAGAGCAGAGATTCCACCATGGGAAAGCTGAACATACACCTTCTGGAAGTAGAAGAAACTACTATTTGGATTTCTGGAGACCTTTATTGAATTTAGAGTAATACAATAAAAAGGATCTGAAATATCTGTGTATTTATGATACACTCTAGAGCTTACAAATCCATATTTGAGAAATCACTTCATGTCAATCTATCCTTCATAAGGACTTGATTTAAACCAAAATTAAAATGAAATAGTTCACTCTAGTCAAGGCAATTTATGGCAGTCTGCTTTTTCACACAACCCTGTGAAAATTGTATAAGGTGATCCTTTTTCATCTTCTCAATTGAGCCAAAAATTATTAATTCATTCAAGATACTTCTGTGTAACTACATCGTGTGTTTAGTTACACAGTTGGGGCAATCAACATGTGAATTTTACATATATTCATTTTGTGAGGTTTCATACTACAGTTTTTTTTCACATCAGTTAGAAGCAGTACCATATTAGCCAATACAATGGAATATATAGTAAATGTGATGAAATCACCACATGTATTTTAAAATCCTGCTTAAGTGGTATGTTGCTTTTGCTATGGGGCTTGTAACATGGATCTGGCATTATAAAAGATTATAAACCAGCATGACCTTTGAAGCAGTGTTCTTACTCTGTCCCAAACTTGAACCAAATTTTAGAACAACTTCTTATGCCTGATGAAGCTTTTTATAGTTTACTACTACATTCATTACATTAGCTTACGTGAAAGAAGAAAGTCAAAATATGCTCCCTTCTTAGTTTTGCCCATAGTTATTGGTTAAGAGTTGTCTCTGTATAATTTGGCTATCAAAATTTTTGGACCAGCATTAAGAATTTTCTTTTTGCAAACTGTCATAGGACAAAATGACAGCTTGTTACAAATTCAGGCAACATGAGTAATTCTCCAGGTTTGCATCCAATAGTGCCATTATCCCCTAAGCATTTTTGCTGAACATAAAAAACAAAATTTCGTAGGAAATTTCATAGGGGTTGACTGAGTTCATCTCCAAATAATTTTGATATACTTCTTCTTTTTCAGTTGAATATGTGCATCCTACCTTCAGCACTCTCATGTTGGTAAAGAGACAGGAAATCTTTAATATGTAAGATAACTTTGCACTTACACAATTCCACTGCAGTACCAGGTGAATGAAACACCAGCCTTTTTTCCTGTCCAAAAGTCTTTACTTTGCTGGGTTCAAAGTTTCCCCAAGTCATACTTTAATTAATCGAAACAAGATGTTAATCAGCTTACCCATGATCCAAATTTCATCAATCTTTGAAAGAAGAAAAGGAAACATTTTACCCAAAAAGATCTTTTAAGTCATTGCTAGCTGAGCTGCTGTTTGTCATTGTGTTTGCTGGTTGTGCGAAGTTCTGAGGAGAAAAGAAAGGATTACCCTGTATACCAAAGCCTGGCTGTGCTATCATGTTCATCTGAGGTCCCAAGGCCGTATTGCTTGCATTTGGGGACCCTGGCGGTGGCACAAACTGATTAACCCACTGGCTTGATTTCTGCTGAGCCAACTGCTTCATGCTAACTTTGGGTTTTTGAGGACCAAAAAGATTATCTAAAGCAGACATGTCAGGGGGTCTGTTTTGTTGTGTCATTGGAGAGATTGCAGATGCAGCACTCATAGGACTGTAATTTGGCATATTGGCAGGCGGTACAATGTTCATCTTGGTTGCCCCTGTTGCACTTGGACCACTGAAGAAATTCTGAGTAGCGAGACCTGCTCCCATAGTGAATCCAGCAGTCTGAAACCCCATATTTGTATTTAGTCCATTTGTCATATTTCTCTTTGTATTGTCAATGGGTGATGAAAATCCCATTCCAACACCCATAGAAGGAACGGAGGAAAAGCTGTTTGAAGATGCAACTTGAGCCTGGTTGATAGGACGGCTGGTCAAAGATGACATATTATCTATCAAGGTATCTGTCAAGTCTTTTGTCTGCAAAACACATAAAATGCAATTAAATGCTTTTCCTGTATAGACACTCTGGCAACAGTATTTTATCATTACCCCTGCAGACCTGGCATTGATTTTTCAGAAACTAGAATTCACTGCACGGAATTGGCCATGAAATGTAATAATACACAAGAGAAATGACATTATTTGTGTTCTTTGCTACTTAGAACTAATTGTTATGCAGCTTTAATTTGACATCTAAGACTACACACAAAGTACTACTGTGACTATTTGCTTAAATACCCCATTCCTATCCCCAAATCCTTTATATATTTCCCTAATAACCTCTTCAGAGAAAAGCCTTTCCTAGAATGTCCCTTTTCCTTATCTAGTACAATGACCTTCTGATAATAAGGATATCCTTGGAAACTCTAGCAATTTTAAAAGTGGGAATATTACTAATGATGCAAATGGAAGGCACATGAAAATTCATTTTAGCTTTTCTCAGCTGTGCCACTGTACCACCAGAGAAAACAAAAGTGACTCACAGGAGGAAAAAAATGCTAAGTGCACAAAGGCTTTAAAGCATCAGAGCTCCAAATGAAACACTGCAGTTGTTTGCTGTCTCTCACCTGTTTCACTGGAGGTGTTACTGTAGTTGCCTGGGGCTTAAGAGGTTGCTGGCTTTTCAGTTTCTGTGCCTGTTCTTGTTCTTTAGCTAACTTTTGCTTCTCTTCCAGAGTAAGTGAGGCCTTTAAAAGGGAAAGTACTGGTAGTAAGTTGCACAAAATGGTTATTCTGATATCCATATTTTTATTTCATACTACCACAGTTGTTTCAAAAATATGTGGTAAACAATACAATTATTTACACAAAAGAGAAAGCCAATAAGTGAAATCTATTATAATATTTACCATATTGCTAGAAAGTACTTAAAGCAAATAAATATAATATTAAGAGCACCATAATGAGGAATCCGGGCAGATCTCAAGTAAGAGATAAATCAACAAAACCACTTTAGCTTTGTTTCCTTAATATTGGGCATAAGAAAAAGTGTTCTTCACAGTTTTTGTTTTTATATGGTTACTAAATTGATCTAGAGATGCAATTGACCATGGAGTTGAAAAGGGAATGTCATTTTAAAACTGCTCAAGAGTCTTCTGAGGATTTTAACTCTACTTTTGTTAATAATGAAGGATAGAACAATTAAATCATTCCCCCTTAATCTAAAATTAGTGTGAGGATTCAGATAACTAGAAAGAGGAACGATAAAAGATATAGATTCTGGGGAGCCATTTCCATAATTATTAGCATGAAAAGAATTTTACAATACATAAAGCTTATGTTTACTGTATTACTGCTTATATTTTATGTTATGCTATGTCTTTCCTTCGCTTCTTGTATTTAACCACATATTGACTGTTTTCAGTTAACTTTGAAGGGTTCAGTAAAAGTCACTGCTACTACTTAAAATTTTATTTTAAACATTTTATCTTCATTTCTCTTCATAATTTTATCATAAGGATCCCTATTTTGCTTTTCCTACCTAAATCCAGTGGTGAAGTTTTAGTTTCATTTAAATCTATAATTAAGGAGAAAGAAAATTACCATAAATGTATAATCCTAGTTGCTGCCTACTTTGTACAAAGCTATTTTCAAGGAAAGGCTTACACAGAAATTGAAGGATATGATTTGAACATTTTCCATGGACCTTCTCATGTGACTATGTATGGTGGTGTGCTGTAAATAAAAGCAGCTCGTTTTTCTACTAAAGCTTTAAATATGGTACATATTTACACATACTCTTTTTCTGCAAACCTATCAGCCTTGTGTAAGACAGATGGACAAAGAAGAATTAAAAAATAAAGCACACCTTTCTCTGTACTGATGACATCTCATTCTCTTTACTATCAGATCCACTAGTTAGAAGGTCAGTTCCATTATTAAATACCTTGTCAATCTGTTTAAGTTGAAAGAAAAAAACCTTAATTATTTGAAATACTGTAATTTAAGGCTATGTAAATATCAACTAAGTGATTTTAAATTTCAGTGTTCTATGTGTAAGTTACATATTGTAGCTTACCTGATTGCCTGTACCACTAGATCTTGCCTCTTCAGACCCACTCATTTGGTTGGCTATGTCCAAGGATCTACATAGTGCAGAGTGTATTACAACAAGACAACTGTGCAATCACATCCACAACACCAATCTAACAATGTAGATCATTCTTCTGCATTTAAATAATACCAAAAAACTGCATTATGAGAGCAACCACTTTTATGTAATGCCTTCAGGAGACTGGCAAATGTTCCTTTGAGAAATAGTAAATGTCTCCTAATTTCCCATGGTCTTCAGTTCTTCCTTTGAACAGGGTGACCTAGATTTCAGATATCCCAACTTATTTTGTCTCAGAAACCTAACCTCATTATCAAGCTCCATAAAATAGCTCCAAATACTTTAAAATATCACAGCCTTCTAAAAGGCTGCAGTGTTCATGTTTCTTTGATATGGTTTACTTCTCAGCAACTACAGGAAAGCAATTTAGCACATAGAAGCAGATCTTCTGACAACTGTGCTTATTTGAGGTAATCTCCAACTACTGAACTTAGAATTACTTGATTTTTTTATTGCTACGGCTGGATTTCTCTAACATTTGCCAAAAAAATGACTACTTCTCCAACACAAACATTAACACTTACTTCTGTTGCTCTTGCATGACATGAAGTTGCTCTAGTTTTGTTTTATGCTCTGCTTCCAATCTATTGAGCATATCTCTTATAACACAAATAAAAGAATTGAACTGGAAAAGAAATACATAAGAAGTTTGGATTTTTCAGTGATGGAATTCAGATAGGTGTAACTTAACAGATAATACCTCATAAACCTACAATACATAATGTCAGATAAAATGCAAGCTTTTAAATAATTTATTCTCCACCTTCATTATTGTGCATTAAATAGCAAATAACAATCAGAGTGCACACTGACACAGGGAAAAAGACAGGCCACAAAAAAAAAATTGAAATGGAGTAATGCAGACAAAACCTCCACATACAAATATTACTAGATTCATTTTCAAACAGAAAGACTGTTATTCCCTTTCCAATATTTCATAGCAACATAGAAATTTATTTGAATAGTTATTATGTTAGTAGCTAACTGCTTTTGCAGGGTATTTGGAAGGTGACAGTATTAATTTTGAAATTTTACACCAGATCAGTTAAATACACTGAAAAATAACAAGCTTCAAACAAAGAAATATAGTAAAATTGGGAAGGGTTTTGGTATTGCTTATTTTTACAATAGACACAGACATGCAGTAATATACGAATTTTTTTATGACAACAGTTTAAATTTATTCTCTGATAATTGTCAAGGAAAAGCAGGCAAAACAGTCATCTTCCTACCTGATTGAGATTAAGATTGTTCTCAATACTAAGAGGAATCAGATGGGGCAATACTTTCCCTGCAAGCTGTTCTTTGGTAATTCCCAACTTCTTGTGAGTAAATGTACATTTGTAAATACCTAATACAGAGTATCAAAATAGCAGAAATTGTTAAGTTTAGTAAACAATGTGAACAAACTCGAAGTAGTACACATATATGTGTATTGATCATTTGAACAACCACTGTGTTTGTGTGCAAGCAAGGACAAATATGACCAAGAGCATCTTAAAGGCTAAGTACTGATCCACAACAAATAGCAAGAGGCTTTGCCACAGTTCAGAACAAGAGGATATCCGAAGTCATACTTTGCAGTTATGAAACCTGGTATCAGTCAATGTATTGTTCTGGCCAATTATCTGAGAATATGCATCGTTGAACAGATTATGTGCAAGTGATTTGCAAGAAACTGAACTGCCACTTGAGAAATCAAGCTGCATCAACTAAGGATGTGTTCTCTCCTGGCACACTGCAAATAGCTAGGATTAACATTATCCTGCTCTCTGATAGTTTTTTTACAAACACTGCTAACTAGAAGGTTTGAGCTGTTACACATAGTATCAGAACTCATGCATAATCTTTATTTGTTTTAAAATCACTGAAAAAAGAATCCTGACAGACATGAGAGAACCAGTCTTAAGCCCAAATGTTCTGTTTCTGACAAGGTCGTCTGTTTAAATAGTACAGCTCTGGTGGCAAACTGAACATATTAGCATAAAAGACACAGCAGCTTTCCTCACTTTCCATGGTAGTAGAACAGAGCTGTCACCAAGACAAAGAAAATGAAGGATGGTATTATGATTCTGGAAGAAAGGAGAGCCTGAGTATATAAAACTCATTTCAGCCCATCCTTTCCAAACTAGGATTCACTTTCTCACTGTGTCTGAGTAGAATTCAGAATTAATACAACTAAAGCGAAAAATAGCATCCCATATTCTCAGATAGCAAATAAAAGTCAAAGCTGCAAGGATTAAGGGAAACAAATCAGTACAGGTAAGATGCCTTCTTTCTGCTTTTGAGCAAATAAAAATAATGCTGCCATCACATATTAGTACAGTGTTTAATGAGGGCTACTCATTAAAGGGCAGTGCAGCTCAGCTGTTACAATTGGTCTACACCACTTTGGTGTCAGGAGGAGAAACAATCACTGTCTTCCAGACTTAGCCAAGCAGTGACATCTTTTTCTTGTCAGTGGCTCCGGTCATCTGGACTCCTTGAGCCCATTCAGTTTGCTAAAAGCACACACCCTGAGATAGGCAAGCACCAAGTGGCAGTAGGAAAGCTCAAGTGGGAGTGAGGTCTCCCCTTCCAGAAGTACCAAGCCATTAGGTTTCGTTAATCATTTTGTGAGACCTCACCCAGAGTGTGTTCCATTTCTGCACACAGGCACAACTGTGTGCCTAAACATCCAACAAAATGAGTCTAACAAAACCTGCAGTAAAGAACAGTAGATTTGCACACCATCATTTATAGCATCTGCTATGCAAGAGTGGTACAAGAAGGCAACAGTAACATCTCAAAAGCTCCAGCATCTGAAAGATGACAGTTCATATATTCTTCTGAAGAAAACAGCCTCTCTGACTCTGCCAAGCACCCAGTCTGTGTGTCACAGCCCAAGAACTGCAGTGAGTACTCAGAACTGCACCGGGTCCCAAAGACTAAAAATATATGTACAGTGCTCAAATGTCATATATAAGGTAACTGAACAGGGACATACTCAAGAACCAGAAAGTTTTTAATAGTCATTTCAGGGATACACTATGTAAACGTGTTCAATGATAACACAGAAAGCTCTCGGATTAATAGTGTATCAAAGCATACAAGAGAAAGTTGGAAGTATTAGTTACCTAAAATTCCCATGAGTACTGCAGGTTCCTTTGATGGAATTTGTTGCAGAAAAGGTAAAATATCGTCAAGCACAAACCATTTATCCAAGTACTCCAAAATCTTGCCCAAGCACACTAGTGAATTTACCCGGACCTGTGAAGTATATTAAGAATTAAACTCTTTATTTATAGAGAAAAAGCAAAACAACTTTACAAAACTCGTAAGAAAATCTTTATACTGAAAAATTCAAGACAAGTTACAAAATGCTTTTGTATCATGAAAGAAAAACACTTGTTTTTCACAAAAACTTGGCTTTTCTGCATGACAAACACTCAATCAATGTGTATTACTCTGGAACCTGCTTCAGTAATTTTTACAGTATTATTAACATGGTAAGTTGTTAACAACTTTAAAAATTGTTAGAGCAAAGAAATGCTGCTTTTGCACTTTTAAGAAGTTTTAAAATAAAATTTCAGTAAGAAATTAGAACACATTGATGGGATTTTCTTTAAAGACACAACATGGTAAACCTGAAGTAATTAAAGGTTACAGTGTTTTCTGAACACTAGAAAATGTTACTAGGATACTCACAGCAAGAGAAGAAGTTTGCAAACATGCATTTTTAATTCTTGGAATTAATGAATTTTTCATTGATGGGTAATCTATTAAATTGGCAAACGTGGGAATTATGTTTAGGCAAAGCTCCTAAAAAAAAAGAAAAAAAGACACAAGTTTAAAAAGAAACATGCATATTTATTATAAAATTAGTACTAATATAACTCAATGTCAGTTAGTTTGAAATGTCTTCTTAAGATTTCCTCTTAAGGAAATATTTAAGGAAATATGTTCAACTAAGTTGCCCTTATTCCATCAGACTCACTTAAAAATAGCTAGACTAATAAAGCCTCATGGTATGTATACAGAACCCTAAAAAATTGATTTTAGAAAAAAGAGCATTCATAAATTCATATGATTCATTATATTTAAGCAGCAAGAATATCTTGCATTTTCACGAGGGGCCTTTATGTAAAACCCAGCTTTTACTACATCAAACTATCAATCTCCTACATAAATCAAGAAAATTTCAATGAGTACTATCAATAATACTGCAGTACAATGATAAACTGAATGATAAAATATCATGTCAAGGTTAACCATACTTTAGCAACAGAGAAAAAATAAACACAATTTCAGCCCAATCTCAAAAAAAAAGAGACAGTAATAATAAATTTATGTTGCAAGTAAACACCTCAGTAACCAAAGTACTGATGCAGAAAGAAACTCGTGACAGGTACTTAGAAACAAAAACCTTTGTCCCTAATATTACAAAGGCTTTGCAAAGGCAGAAATCACATCTGATTATACAAAACTGCCTTTGAGAAATATTTTGTTTAACTCCCATTCCTGAATGTTTTTTGGTATCTGGAAGTTAATTGCATTTGAATGGTTAAAAAAAAATCCCCAGAACAACCTTAGAAAGGTAGAGAAAGCATAAGGAGAAAAAAAATACATAAAAATGTCACCAGAATGTGTATTAATATGATTTTACAGCACATCAGGTCTCCTGAGGTAAGTGTCAGCACAGCTGTTCTCACCAGCAGGAGCTCAGAATAAGCCACCTCTCACTGACTGGTACGAGCATGCACGCCTGCATGGCTTCTGCTGCACAGGCAGTGAAATATAAATGTATATCCTACTTTCTGCTGTGGTGGATGGTAAGAATTTAAGATAAGAGCATTAGAACAATAGTCAAGTGGTTACCCTCCTGGAAAACAAGGGAACTAAATTTTACTTTATCAGAAACCAATGTTCTTTAATAAAGCATTCATCTCTTTCAACATTCAGGCATATTATGCAGGTTTTATGTTGTTTTTTTTTTTTAAGTAAACAAACACATGACTATACAAAAAGTTGGCATGTCAGCTGAAAGAGGAAAAGGAAAGTTTTAAATAAAGGCTGCAGCTACTATACCTGGATCTGAATTGAAGGTGCTTCCAAGGCTCTATAAACCATTGGTAGAACGCTGTTCTTTATTTCATCTGGTGGAGTTTTGGTTAGAAGCAAGTCCATTTTTTGCAGGAAGATTAACAATATCTATTCAAAGAAAGACAATTCAGAAGCCAAAAGTTTTAACTGCAAAGGATATATTTACAATTTAAAGTGTGTTGTATCATATCAAAAAAACTTCAGAAGTTTTCTTATAACTCAGTAAATGTGATCACTTACCATGTTGCTTGCCTGAAGGCATGGAAGACAAAAAACACTTTGACATGTTATTGCATTTTAAAAACAGCAAATACAAATCAAACAAAATATGCATGTTCTAGACTGACTTCTGAAATAACAAATCATAATGACTCATCATAATGAGTTCTTGCTTCTACTTACAAGAACTTGTAAATAGTTCTTGTTTCTCTTTATGGTGTTTTGTTAAAATACACCCACAGAAAATCTTTATATACACACCACTGTTGCAAAAGCTAAATTCCCAAAAAACTATAACTCAAATTCTGTCCTCAAAGCAATTGATCACAACTCCACATATACAAGTTGCATTTCATTTATCTAAAATCAAAATAGGGACATAATAATAGTATTATGGCTATTAGATGAAGAAAAAATGCCTTTATTCTATTTAGTATGGAAATTGTGTATCGTAAAATAAACAAATCTCAAACATTTGAGAGATTTTTAATTTTTCACATTAACTGAAAAAGTAGCACTAGAATAGCACATAAGCATAGTGGGAACCATCTTTCTTAAGATTAGCCATCCAAAAGTTAAACATTTATTCTAAATCATTCAGCCAGTTCAGTCTGAGCAATACAGAGCATTATGTAACTCAAGATTCATGTCACAACTCGGACAGGTGCTAGAGGGGACAGCGAGTATCCACTGATATCAGAACTCCTTTCTGAAAATAGGTTAAGCTAGATGGATAAATTATGTTTAAAAGTATCACGTTTATAACAAAAAGCAAAATATTTTATAGGAAGACTTAAATTTTTGTCTAAAAATATATGGCAATGAGTGCTTCTATGTCAAATAAGAAGAAGCATTGAAGTATAGATACAGAAATTTACCAAGACCCCATCACAAATGTCCCCCTTTTATTTATTCCCCCCTTCTCTTTACAGAGGAGAAAAATGATTTTTTTACAGTGCAGCTAATATGTGTCTTCTTATTGGATATCTATAATTTCCCAAATTGCACACACACAAAAAAATCATTCATTTATTCCACGAACATTGATTCTGATGCAATATTCCCATATTTTGGACAATCAGGGTGAAATGGACAGAGATCAATTTGAAAGCCCGATTTTATAGTTTTCTTCAATATACAATCTTTGTCCTAAGCTTGATTTTTCAAGACCTACACTTGCTTTTAACACCTGTTCTTTAACAATCCTAATCATGTAATATTGTGGAATTACAGTTTCTATGTTTAAGCTTCTAGGATCCTATTTGATACTTTTTATCTGAGGTAAAAATCAAGAAGGTACAGTCACAGATTCACACACACATCATTTAATAAGCAATTAACAGCAGTTGCACTCTAAGTAATAATGCTTCATTCATTAATGCAGAGCCCAGTATTTGTCAGGGAACACTTCTGTGTAGTGAATTAGAAAACATATTTACAGCACATCCTATGCTAACAGTCTATGGAATCCTCTGGATAAAAATTAAGGGTTTGTCTGGGAAGCTGTGTCAGAGTAAGCTAGGATATTAACGTACAGCACACTTTATTCCACCCCAAGAATAAGTTTATCTAAATATTCTATGAATTCCCTCACAAAAAGTCATTGTGAACGCTAGTTAACAATTTCTTAATATTGAATTAGAGCAGCTTTCCTATGATACATTCACTTCCTAATTCAAATATCCTACTCAAGTCAAGCAACAGGCCCCTCATACAAAGCTGTAAGATCTTGAAAGAGTGTTTGGAAGAAACACTGGAACACAGGAACTTCCCTGAATGCCCCTCTCCAGGAGTTACAAGCACACAGAAACGAGACATTTCTGCCTTGTGCAAAGACATTCAGACCTGGAATTTTATCCTCTGGGACTCTGAACCTTTGTATTTTTTTCCAGAATTTCTGATATAATAACTTCAAAAACATGACTTAGATTATTTAAACTTTTCCATACTAAAAAGAAATATATAGAAATATATTCAACTCTACAGAAATAATAGTTGAATAAGCCATGTAGTACTGTTCATTAAAAATACCAGCATAAGAATTGAATAGTGTCTAGATAGTCACAGAAAAGCTTTGCAAAGCTCCGTCTTTATGAGCTAACTCCAAGTTTGTATTTTGCCTCCTTCATCTCTCAGGATATAAACCAGCTTTTGTGTCCATTATGCTCCAGATGTATCTTTGCTACAAACTTTTTGTAGCAAGGATCGTGTCACAAATCTACTGTCAAAGGCAGCAGAACACAGTTACCTTTTAAGATGACACAGCACAAATGAGATGTTCATTGGCTTTTGGATGGTAAAACATTGACTTTTTTCAAGACAAAAAAGCTTCAGTGTACCAAATATAAACCACATTAAGTAGCTCAATTTTCTTGAGTATTCTCAGTTAGACAACTGTCCCCTTCCCTACCTCCACAGTATGACAATTCTCTAGTCCAGCTTTCTGAAACCCAAAAATAAAAGGTCTGCTATGTTTACCTTGCCCTTTCAGTGCTCTGCAGAAATATAATGGCACACAGGAGCAAGCTAGAAGGAATGCACACCTGTTGTTGTGGAGGCACAATGCCCCACTTTGTGACAGATTTCTCAGGAATCACCATGATGACGACAAAGGATGCAAATTTTTGCTCCTTTACATTAATGATTATGTCTTAATACTTTTATGCATTTAAACAGCAGGGAAAGCAGCATACTTTACTTATACATTACATTTGTAAAATAAAAATTAAACTAATTTCACAAATTTTTGCACAGTCCTCAAATAAATATGAATATTAATATGCCCTTAATATGAATAAATAGCACTTCTTAGAGAGTGCAAAGCTACAGTTTTTCCACCCCGTGATCCCCATGTCAGCAAACTGGATACAAGAAAAAAAAACCCAAAAAAATCCAGGTTCATCTACTGGTAGAATATATGCAAACACTCTACTGTACAGTGCTTAAATTGCCCAGATAAGTGTTAAAATGCTTACAAATATATCTTCTACAACCAACCAAAACCAAGTGGTAAATTAAACCTTTTTTGCAAATTTCATCTCATCTATAAATGCAATATACCCTCAGACCAATCTAAACAAGCAGAGGCAGAGCTTTGAGAATTTCCTGGAAAAATCTGTTTTGAATAATCAAGACTGACTGCCTGGACAACTACAGAGCAGACTGGGCAATGTGTGTGAAGCTGGAAAAGGGAAATAGAACAATTAGTCATTTTTTCAGGGAAAACAAAATCAAAACGAAAAACTAATATGAGTAATATTAACATACCTGGATCGGTTCTTGCTGCTTAAAAACAGGACCAAGATCAGGTAGAATGAGCTTGATATATTCTTCTTTGGTGCACTCCTCAGCAATTAATAGAACATTAGGCAACACAAAGGGTACCATATCAGGATTCACAAATTCGGAAGTCAAGCAAGGCAAAATTCGCTGAATTATAACACGCTAAAAGAAAATCAAAACCAAACCAATATGAATCATGTACTGCACTGCAGTAAGTTACCATTGTGCCAGTTCAGCAGCTTTTGTATCAGCCAGATATTTACAATAAAGAAGACAGATAACTTTCAGTTTTGATCTCTTATTTGCACAGTACACTGTAGTTAATTTACACTGTTCTATTCTGCTTAATTTTTTCTGTTTGCACTCAAAACATAAACGAAGACTTTAACAACTGTGAAGATCAACAAAATGCAATTAACTGTACAGAAAATAGGACTTTGAGCCACACATGAGTTATGAAAACCATACTCTATATGCTTTCTTTAAAAAGACCCTAACAAGACCCCTAAAAATACCCAATAAACCCTCCAAATTACTAATTTTTTTTTCTGTATCCTATCATTCACTGAACAAACACATAATTCTACTATACCTCCCTGTAAAATTCCAGATACATTCCCTAAATAGGATTCTGCTGATGAAACAGATATTTAAACTGTGGATGTCTACTGTAGCATTAGACATCCTTAAATGCTTTTGAAGTCAATAAACAGAAATATATGGTTCAAGGGCAGAGTCGCTGCCCTCATTATACTTTCAAGACAGAAAAAAAAGAATGCACTAAAGATGATTTGGTCAATCAGTGACTGTCTAAAGTTAGGTGAAATGCATGCTGCTAATTTCCAAATTCAAAGCAGCAACATTTCTGATCAAAGGAAAAAATTACTAAATTAAAAAGAATAGAGTATTAAATATGGAGTCTAAATGTTGCACTGTGTAGTACAGAACAGAATTAAAAATAAAGACATTTAATGCACTGGTTGAGAAGCTCAGTGATTCTATTATGTATTAAACTAATACTACTTTTCTATCACTTTAATAAATTAAGGTATACCACAAAAGGAAAGGGGGCCAGTCTAGATATAGTGCTCAACACTACACAGGAGAAGTATGTAGTGACAGGCATTTGCCTCTGAGATTTCTGAGCACTGCCAGCACAAGAAAGCACTTAGTCTACTGAGGGAAGGAAGCTTTGCATCATTCAACATTAAAGTACTGCCTTGCTATGAAAAAACCCAAAGTAATCTTATAGGAAGAAAAGGTGGCAAAATGGTGTCAAAGAGCTATGATGGCATCTGGAAACACAGGGAAAGCCTTGTAAGTGGAGAGAAGACAACTCCTTTTCAAACTGGGATGAATAAGGACATGTAAATGATGGTTCCTTATTTGGCTTATTTACCATTTTCCACTTGAAGTACTGCTGATTACTGAGGAATACTTCCAGAACAAGTATGTTCTAATCTCCCTTTATTTTCTCCTACTCTATTACGACAGTCTCCTCGCACTCTCTTATGGTACAATGCTACAGAAAGTCCAGCTTTCCAAGAGCTGAAATGCTAACAAGTGTTCATATATATTCAAACTTGCTATTTCAAGACATCATTCAGACGTACCTTAGGTAGTTTTGGCAGAACTTTTGGTAGTCCTTTAAAAAACTGTGATTTCTGCAGGTTATCTCTTTGAAATAATGAATCAAAATACTGAAGAGTCATTGCTCCTACATCATCGAAGAATGGTATCTAAAAGTAAGATTAAAAGGTTGTGATCTGGAGGGGAACAACACTCACACTGCTACAGTAATTCCAAAATACAATCATCTATCTACCCTTTCAGTGCACAATAGAAAGCCTTTACAATGACATGTCTGCAACTAACAATTAAAAAATTAAATTTTTACATGTTAAGTAGTATAATATTCATATACAGGTTGATTATTAAGACAGAATTTTCCTAGCATTTTTGAAAAAATCACACATTTTATATGTATCTAAGTTTAAACATTATTTCACATACAGTAAGTGGCTCACAAAAAATGTAATGAAAAATAAAAACTTCAAATATTCTTCTAGGAATAATTATGCTATATTATATTACAACAAAGAATTACCTCCTAGGTTATCCACATCTCACTCCCACCCCTGGAAACTTCAGAAGACGCTGGAAGCTCTGATATCTCTACTCTATGATTCAGTGTGTAGATATGATAAAAGAGACTCAATATTTTTATAAAACCATAATGCTTAATACAACCACTTACAGATTTGTTTGTTGCAGTCCTTCAGATAATTGAGTTGATACCTGAGAAGTATCTACCAATTCCCTCGCTCCCATCTTTCAGCATATAGGTGGACAAAATCATCAACTGCTCCCTCTCCCTTTTTCACCCACTATTTCTTTCAACAGTTAAAACACTGATTTCTATCTCTGCATACCATCTTCTGACACCACAGCAAAAGAATAAAATCATTTAGCAAAACAAAGCTATAAGCAGGAGCCTGAAAAGTTATTTAGATTGGAGAAAATGGGGCATAAGACAAGGGAAGAACAATGCTTTAAGTTCTACTTTCAGATAGGAAAATGGAGCAACAGTTTTTGCAAATTAAAACTTACATTATATCCTACTTGCAATTAAATTTTGCTTGGTTAGGGCAAACAATTTCCAAACATACTTCATTCTTCTGCATACTTCAGAACACAACAAAAATCATAAGCTAATCATTATGTTTATTGCCCTTTACCATTTTCTCACTTTCAAATCCTTCCAACGTAATTTTAAAGACTGAATTGTATAAAATCACAACACAGAAAAGCTTCCAACTACATGGAAGGAAAAAAAACAGTGCTACATTGAATAATTTTTCTAAATTCTGTCTCAGAATTTTTCCATATAAATAAATGTCTGCATAAGGATAACTTTTGGCATCAACTAACATGACATCTAAATGGTTAAAAAATATGTAACATTTCAGCTGAAATGATTAACAGAAAACAAATCAAACACTAATTTCTCTCTTTCCTTTGGCCACTGTATTTTCCATGGACTGACCTTAGTCATTTGATCTGCGTCTGGTCTGACTGCTGGAGCTACGTTGAGGAGTAGCTTTACATGCTCACGCACCTCCTCGGGGATGTTCTGAAGAGTACTGGAGCTTAAACGGCTCAGCTGTGGAAGTAATCCAAGGATGTACAACATGAAGGCAGAAAACCCTGCATGTAACTATTTCCAATATACAACAGGCCTATACTTTGTTCTCTTGATGGTTTCTCTAGCCACGCATTTGATATCCCTCCCTTCTTGATCACAGTCTTCTCTGTTTCCCAAGAGCCTACCAGTTTTAGGTGCCATCCCTGTCTTTTCAACTTCCTATTTTAGTTCAGGTTATCAGAGAACACAAACATGATATTTTAAACAGGCAAATGTCATTATCTGAGGTGTTGTCTACACACATTAAAACACAGTACACACTGTGTGGCAATGGGCACCCAAAGAAGTTACAAACAAAGGAAACCTGCATATGAAGAGACTTTATGCCAGCTAATCCAATTAACTGTGACACTGTCTTCTGTTAATATTCATAGTCCACAAAGCATGTGAAATAGTGATAGCTAAGTGGATACCAAGAGCCATGTCAAGTGATCAATCACTCTAAACCCAGCCCTCTTCAATGGTCCTACATAGGTAATTCACTGCCAGGTGCTTCATACTGTTCACCCCAACAGGTAAGCATTATTTCACAAGACCAGCATTCAACAGGTTTACACAGAAGTCAGGTGAAAAATGCAATTTTTAGTTTATAAAGTTGGTACATGTAGCCTCCTCTAAACATATTTTTAGTTCTCATATTTTGCTACGATTTCTTTTCTTGTTATAACAACAATATGTAGGGTAAGACACCATTGTCAGACGGTTTATATTGGAGCACTGACAGTGTTCTCAATATTTAAATCTATTTTACAGTAATAACTTTTCAAATATGAAAACCAACCAACAATAATGATAAAAAGAACAAATACCTGGTCCAGCTGTCTACTAAAGCTTTTATAAATATCTTGTTTGTTGACTTCAAAAATTGGTTTCCCTTTATTAAACACTGCATACATAACAGCTCCCAGAGAGTACATATCACTAGCTGTCTCACAGCTCACAGAGAGAATATATTCTGGTGCCAGGTACTCAGGATTTGGAAGACACAAGGATGGCAAGTTTGGATCCCATTCCTTACAAGGGAACTTCGGCTACAAGAGAAGCATGAGAAGTAAAACAAAGTACATTTATCAAGGATTTTTAAAAACGATTTTCAAAAAGAAACTCAAGCAGTGAAAAATAATTAAGCCACTCAAATTCAATCATGAATCAAACAGAAACAGAATAAGGCAAAACTGTTAAGAATCTCTGTCTGTAGCTTAGAGTGATTAGCTATGCAGTTTTATCTGAATATTAGAGCTGGGAAGCATAATGTAAAATCAAAGCACTGCTGTAACAGGGAAACACGAGCTATGATGGAATTCATTTTAAGAGGCAGCAACTCGGCACTGAATAGGTGCAACACATTAAGCTGGGTAGGCTTGCATGTCATCCAACATGAAGGGGAGCAGAAGTGCCATAGGCTCCAGGCTCTGTCTGAAACCATCATTAGTCTACTGTGACCCCACTGAGCCCACTCAGGCTCTTTTTCAGAGATGATCAAATGCAGCACTCCAATCCAGACCAGTGCCATATGCTCTAATGTTTGGCCAACCAAATGCAGACGTGAATATTAAATACTTGTATTTAATAAATAAGTGGAATATTAAATAAGTGGTTCTATACCAGAATGCAAGATCATGAAACTAGTTTCAGGTAAAGATCTCAATTTGAAATTGAATGATGATAAATATAAAGATTATTACCTCCTGTTCAGATGGATTTGTTGATTGGATACAAAAATCAAAGCCCATAATTTTCCATGCTCCACTCTTATTCAAAATTATATTTTCAGGAGTAACATTTCCATGGACCATTTTGACACTGCTATGCAAAAATGACAAACCTTCAGAAACCTGTCCATAAAAGATCATTATTTCAGGTTAGGTTAAATATTTCCCCAAACATCTGATAAGACATTTACAAAAATTCTGTTCCTACAGCCACAGGTAAATTCCTAATTTAATTAAGAAACACCTATTCATAACTGTTTTAGCCTATTCCTTAAAAACTATGCATGAAGGAAATTAAACACAGATGGGTAATCAGCAGGTGAGATTACTAATGTCAATTAACAATCACAGTGTAAGTGTGGTGGTGCATTCCCCTCTCCCCCCAGGCCACATCATCTCAGAAGAACAAAAATGTTTTATGAAGCTGATCAACATATTCACCTGACAAAACCTGGGAGCTTATGGCTCTCCACAAAACGTAAAGCAAAGATTCACATATGGAAGAGGCAGCTGTAGCATAGACATTTATATGGAAAATAAAAATTAATTTAATTTTCTATTTAGCATGTCAGAAAAATAAAAAAAAGAGTAGGAGCTTAGAGCTTCTAGTGTTTATCCTCTCTCACACTTAGAGTGATCAGCACTATTATTTCTCACCTATTATTTGACTTACTATAGGCAGACAAAACTTTGCCAGTGTACTGACTTCATTAAAAAAATCAGTAATACTAAAGGCAGAAAAAAATGATAAAGACAACCTGTACCATACCTGAAGCAAACCATATTTGGTCTCCACGTCATAAAGTTTGTATTCTTTAATGTCTGATGGTAAAGGAGAAGGTAGATTGTCCCAGCTGCCAAGAACATTAGCTAAACTTGCACAGACTGGTTCTGTACAAAATGCCAAGCAATCCCTGTATAGGAAATGCATTAAAAAATTTCTTGTACATAAATGTAATATATCTCTTGACTGCAAATAAAGAACCATACAAACACCATATTATACATTGCCAAAGCACCTGGTGCTACCAAAAGCCATGTTATATTTCAGGTTTCGAATTCTTTTAATATTATACTAAAGAGAAACACATAAATGCCTGAAGTTTAAAAAAATTAATTAGAATTAGGTTATTTTATTCTCTAACATTCACATAAATCACTAATTATTCACACAATGCTTCATAATTATTTTTTTAATAATGCTTTTCTTGTCTTGATCCAGGAAGAATTGATCAAGTAATTCTTACTATGATTAAAACTTGTAAAATCAGATGTCTACCTATGCCTAAAACCAACGTGTCCATGACTGAAGCAGCACTTAATGAGGTCACACAATGATCAGAAACTAAATTAATATAAGGGAGCACTTGAATATTATTTGACAAGTGATAAAGAAGAAGATCTGTAAACACAAATACGTTTGTTATACGAACTGCAATTTGCATGAGAAATGACTGTTCTCTAAATTATTTTATTGATTTTTTTTCTTCATGAACAATTAATGGTCTTGCTTATGCATTTTTGTGTCAATTGTGTTTGAAAAGCACAGAAGAATCAAACTTCTACACATAAGGACTGGTCGCAACACTTTCAAAATTTCAAATTTCAAAATTGGTCCTGAAATCACTGTATGTCTCAATTTCATGAACTTCACACAACACAGACAGAGTCATTCTTTACATCCACATTCTTCATACTGCTCTGCACAGCAGTGGAGGCCCTGGACAGCCATTGAAATTCACTCCTTAATTGTTTTAAAGGGTTTTTTTTGAGAAAGCACTACATAGATGGTAGCACACATACCTGCTTTAAGGACCATTAATTCAGGAGAACACTAAATACTGCATCAGCATCAACACAGAAAACAAACTGAATAACAACAACGAAGCAAAATTTTTGAATATAAAGTTATAGGCATCTTTTTGATCACCTCATAAAAACCTCAGAAGATAGGTCTCAGCATGAAATTAAAATTAACAAGCTTGACCTTTGAAGTAAAATAAGGCCACTGAAATATGCAAACCTCTTACTATTCATCCTGATTTTAGTTTTATCTAGTGCCTCTCTAAAAGAAAAACAACTGAAAAGTAAAATACATTGAATGCTAAGTGTCAGCCAGCCTGAAAGAATTTTTTGCTTGGTTTTCTCCCTACCATTCTGTTAATAACATACCTTTCATGTTTCTATTAGTATGACTAGGGCTATAAAACTTGTTCCTGTTATAAACACAAGTCAAAACGAGAACATAGAAAGACAAAGTCCTTTATTTTCAGTCTGGCTTCAGCTTTACCATAGAGCTTATCCATTTAGTTAAGGCACAGATGATAGAAAATACCTAGGGAACAGATTTTATAACGAACTCTCTGATTACTGCTGTTTTGAGGGAATAAAAAGATGGCTGTTTATTTTTTACTTTAGGAGCTAAATTTAAAAAAGGGCCCAAGACACAGTATTGGAGGGATGCTGTAAATCTATGAAATGAATGAAATGAAAACAGCAGAATATTGCAGAAGCTGGTGTGTGCCATACAGTGCAACTACCTTAACAGTTTCCTGAATAATATCAACATGAAATTCAGAGTAATAAGATAAAAACATTGAAAAAAAAAGTGACAGCCAAAAATACATATGCTTTCTACAGGGAAACAATGTAACAAATGCAATGTCTCGTAAATTATCAGGACAATTCACACTACTACTATTTTTAAAGGGTAGGAACAATATTATGAGTTAACCCACAATTTTGGTTTTTTATCCTTTTCTAAAATAACAAGCTAAATAGAAATGAATATTGCTTTCCAGTGCTGTTAATGGAATTCAAGACCATTTATAAATAAAGTCATATTAAATATTTAGTATAAATAGAGTCACTCCTAAAATTGCATGTTAAGAAACATAATTATGTTGGATGACAATTTTTAGTAGAAACATTCTATTCATAGTGGAAAAACTATCTACACACTAGGGTCAGAAAGGTATGGCCTTTTTTTTTATTTCCATATCTACTTCAGCCCTCCAGGTACATCAAATATCTGTTTGCCACATAAAGGAGGAATAATGGGTGACCTGCAAGCATTTCATTACAACTGTATGATACTTTGGGGAAACACACAAAAAATTTTTTTAAAAAAATCAGGTACCATCTAGCCAGAGGCCCTTGAGAGATTTCTTCAAGAATAATCACTCTGGAAAGACCTGAAATCCTCAAGCAATCTTACAGCATGCTTGCACAAGGTTACATACACATATATTCTACATAAACCTTTCTTTTACTAATCTCCTCCAAAAACTGTTACATCAGTTTCTGGCACAGCAAGCAACTGTACAGGTTTTGTGCTTCTGGTGTTTCTACCAGCAGCTGAGTATGGAAACAAATACAGCAGAAGCAAAGTGTAAGGCATTACTAAAACTTCACAAACAAGGACTCTGATGTAACTACACTGCAGATTTTACTCAAAAGGCTTAAATGAACAAGAACACTACCAAAGCTTTCTTAAAGGTATGAATCTTAGTCTTTTCTTCTGAAGGGCAAAGTTCAGGGGAAAAGTTGCTGAGTCAACTGGAAAACTGTGACAATTTTAGAAGGAAGCCTGAGGTATGCTCTGGGATTCACTTGCATACACTATAACCCTAGGCCATTTAGCATGCAATAGTTTATTTACTGCTGTAGAGTACTGAGAGCTGTCTTCAACTACCTAATTGATTTTCTTTAGGCCATTGTAAGGGACATAGGTGCAATGACAGCTCTGAACACCTGTTAATGTGAAATGTGTTTAGCACTGGAGGAAAGGTAGATATGAATATGCAGGTGCAATTTAATCCAACAAACCTATCTCAAAGCAGGCATTGCAAAGATGAAGAAGCATTCCTACAGTATTCTCAGCTCCTAGAAGCCATTTGGAAAAATTCAAGGTAACGCAGAAAGGAAGGACATTACATAATGAATCTTTATCAGGCTACCATTTAGGATCACAGAATGGCTGGGGTTAGAAAGCACTCCTAGAAATCATCTAGTCCAACCCCCTTCCTGTCTGGGGAAAAAAAACCCTAAAATCTCCATGATCTTCTTTGGTAGTATCAGTATCATCTTCTATTTTAATATGAAACCTTGATTTTCTTTGTTATCCCTACAGCTGAACAATACATCTGTAAGACTAACCAGTCATTGTGCCCCTAGTGACCAACCCTTCATAAATCAAATAAGCACTAGAAGAACATGCTGCATTTTGCCTCCCTCGACTGGCACTCGAGGGCCTTTTCAACACGTATTTAGATACAACATATATAATTTACTGAAAATCCCTAATCACACATGTACTAAATACCACTCATACATGGAACAAAATGTATGAATAAGTTTTTGAGAGAAAACCATTTTAAGAGAGTTCTTTAAAAGCATAATTAATTAAAGCACCAAATTTTTATGCTGTAATGGTCATGTGTAGCCTTACAGCTGCAACTGGACTAAAATCAAGTAATAGGTTATTAATTAGATTCACACCAGAACTGCATTCTATGGTGGGGCAGGGGGGGAAATATGGGGGTAGGGCAAATACCTTATTATATGAACAAATACACTAAGCTTGAATCTCATCAGATGTATGTATTGAATGTTCCAGACAGTTTACATCCAATACCAAAACAATGATTAAAAAATAACTATTCTTTACTTTACTACAGCTTACCTGGATTCTTCTAATGGATGTTGAACAGTGAGTAGTCTAGGGTGTCGAAGCCTAGTCAGCTGTTGAACACCTCGTTTTAAGGAATCAATAATCTGATCTTTTTCAAATTTTTGGTACTTGTCTATTAGCTTCTTATCAAAGACAAAAACAGCCACTTCCTGAAAATAAGCAACAGAATTTACTCGGTATATAACACAGCCAAAACCTAAGCATTTACACAATTATATACAAATGTGGTTTTTGAATCAACAGTACAATCCCACCAATACAATAACCAAACAAAGAAACTGACTTGTTGTTCTTACTTAGTCCCAGCCATGGGAGAGGTTACTGTATATAAACTCTGAAATATACACGTTGAGTTAAGGTACTAATGCTCCTTTATTGTATAAACAGTAACACATAAACTATAACCCCCACCTACAGTGATGAAGTAGCAGATCCACAATCAGAAATCAGCTTGATTTTAAGTAGGTGAAAGCATTTATATCAACTATGAACAGTTAAAATATTCTGAGTATGTGTCAAGTGTTGCTTTATTAAACCAAGTCCTGTCTCAGTGTTCTGCTCCAAGCCAGTACAACCTGACAAAATAGTCACAGTAGTCTATTAATCTGATCAGACCATTCACATGATAAAACATTAAGAATTTTGTAATGCCTACAGATGTGTAAAAAATAGTCACAAAAATGTTAAAAACAGAGAAATCTTCTCCCCAACTTCTACAACTGGAGCAGGAGAAAATTAAGAAATTTGTATGAAACTTTGAAATTAACAGAGGTCGATGTAAAATTAAAAATTAGATTACATCACCACCTGGGAAGTTCTTAATGTGAAATGTATCAACTGATGGAAAAAAGGAATTAAAAACTTTTATCATGAAACAGACTTTCATATGCTGCTACAACAGCATTATGAATAATAATAAAGGTTAGAAAGCAGTAGAAAATAGTATGAAAATACAGTTTTCAGTCCCAAGAGGAACTCTATGCTCTTTTACTGCACATTTTATAACCATTAATTAAAATCTCACAGGAGCAGCTACATTATTAATTAAAAAAACCCTATAAACTTTTAGAAATAGGCTATCCAAAATACGAAAATCATCCCAATACACAAAAAATTGGTTTTTAGCTATTTTCATTAACGTGTTAAGCAGGTGAATTCCTGCCACTATCCATACTGGCTTCCCGTTCCAGCTTCTAAGTGTGATGGCTCAAACATTAACACAAGGCAGAGAAAAGCAATGACATGCATTGAGCAGTACATGACCAACAGCAAAATTTCAAACGAAGACAGCACTTCTGAAGAAATTTCCGTTTCATGACAAGTGAAAAGAATCAGAAAGTGAATAGCTCAATCAGCTATGGTTTGAGTATTTTGTGATGGGTCTAAGTTCTTTTGGTGCTTGCTGCAATCCTGCATTGTTTGTTTAAACTCCTAATTCCCTGCACCTGGCAGAAGAGAACACAATTTGTGCTCCACATCCTTAACCAGCTGACTCAAGGCCATTAGGTCACTCTTGACTGTAACCTTTTGTTGGGACTTACCTTCTGAATTCTCCTAGCTTTACAACTGAGCTGGCAAGTACTCTGTGACTTTACCCTACCTATTTATGATTGCACTTTCTAAGCAGAAGGACAAGCACCATATTATCCCAGAAAAAGTATAAGTGCATAAAATCTAAGTAAATAAATCTAAGATAAGCTGAAATACATACTGTGAAATTATACACCTATATATAACCAGAGAGACTCATAAATCTTTCAAACAAACAGCAGCAAATCAGCTATGAAATAGCACCAGACAAATATATGCATACAGGTAAGCAATTTCCTCACACTCTGTTAGGTTGTTACTCAGTCACCCACACAGTAAACAAGGAAAGACAAGGTACATTAAACAAATAATAACAAATAAACATTCAGAAATCCTTGAAAAGCAGCAAGGCAGGAACCAGGTAGAACTCGGAAAAGAAGAATAAAGTTATAGGTGTCTACTATCATTAGAGATGGAACATTTGTAACTGTCCATTGACTTAAAATAGGAATAAAAATAACCCTGAAAACAAGGATTTCTGATGAGATCTACTGCTGTAATGTTAAAACTTCCAAATTTAGCTGCTTTATCTGACTACAATAACTTAAACTATTACTTGTGATAAAGTAATGGGGTAAAGTGACAATAGGGGTAATTATGCCCTCACTTGCTGCTTGTCTGATTACAATACACACTGCAAAAAAAAAAAAGCTTGTAGCTTCAAGTTAGATATACACACTTGTAATACAGCAAAGATGTGCAACTTCACAAAAGTGACTGCTATGACCTGGAGAATGACAGCCAGCCCAAAGAACATTCAGAACATACACAGGAGAGAATTAAAAAATAACATTAAAGAACTTATATTGCAATACAACACACCATAAGCTGTATTGCTGCACAGTTTCATTTTGCAATGGCAAAGTGAATGTTGACATGATGTTACCTAACTGGTAATATTAATAATGAATGGTAACTGCATGTCAAAACACCAGCCATCTAAAATTCCATCCAGTACAACTGCTGCTGAGCTTTTCACTACTAATGATGGCATACAACTGCAGAGATGTTGATCAGGGTTTACAGAGATATTGCAGGACCATATGGAGCACCTGAACTAAAATTCTGTAAAATTATTGGTCAGAACACCCATTCAAAGCTTGAAAAACATGATTGACAGGAACCTAGTTAAATATACTCTATCAACCATACAGTGAAAAAATTTGCTACAAGTTGCTACACTCCATACCTTAAGGATATACCTTCTACAGGTCAAATTCATACTGGGCACATAGATTATATAGAACCTATCAAAACTACCATGCTTCCAATGTTATCACTTCTTTGGATAGCTGAGTAAGACCAAAAAAAACGCCCCAATCAACTGGTGTGTTGGGTAAACTCTGACAATGCTGATGCATTGTCTAAATGACTTCACATCACTTAGTATTACATTTAACTAAAGACTGTAATTTATTAACACTTCAAAAATTGTATTTCCTCCCCAAATTTGAAAAAAAGACTTTTCACGTTTCTCCAGTGTAACAAAATAATTTTCTGTAATAACAATTCTTCAACTCTGTTTCTGGCAAACCTTCTTCTGAAGTCATAGTCCCACATTCATTCATACATATGACTTCAAGTGAGTCAAAAGTTTGAGATGCTCTAAACCCTACTACTTAAAGGAAACTAAAAGGGAAAAATAATGCTCTGAAAGCAGCACAGGGAAAGCATAACTAACTTCTTTCATAACCTCCTCCCCGATTCCATGCCTTCCTGTTACAGTATCTCATAACATAACACTTCTAACTGCTCAATTTCTGCAACAAACTGGGGAACCAATCCATGTTAAAGCAAACTTCTTCCTTCTTGTCTGATCACTTTTAACTCAGATGAATTCTTGATCTTGGTTCCAAATTATATGCTATGAATGCAGAACCACTTCTTTGTCCAACAATGAAGGCTTAAAGCAAGTATCACTTAGAGAGCTGAGAACAATATACTCAAATAGTGCTGAGTTCTTTGTGCCATTTCACTATCCTTAACATTAGTATGTCCAGTTGGATTTTAACTGCCACTTAACAACTGCTACTAATCAATCTGTCATCTCATGTTTATAAACTTACGTCTTGATAACTCACCTGCTTTGTTGATTTTTTAGTTCCATTAAATATCTTCCAAGCAAGACCATTACCCCCACTGGCAATATGTCGCCCAACATCAAATTCCCTGGTAACAGGATTTCCCATGACTGCACTGGTGACATCAGCTGTCACCTTTGTGACAGTGCTCTTCAGCTTATTCAGCATGGACTCCATCGTTTCAATTTGCACCAATGGCTTATCCTACAAAGAAAAGAAAAGAAAGGTTTCACAGTCCTCTCAATTCAACCATTTCTTGAAAACAGTAATCAAATAATGCAAAGGATTTATAAACTGCCCCCCCCATAGGAAAGGTTCACACCCTGTGTATTAGTATCCATCAAAAAGATACCCGAAGGAAAATAGACTTTTAATTCCAGTGTTCACAGAACTACTCATTTGTCTGAAGTAAAGAATTGCTTAAGATGCCAGGCCAGCAAAATAATGGATGTATATTATACAGACAGCAGGTAAAAACCGAACATCCTCTTTCCTACACAGTGCTTTTCAAAATACAAGCTCAAAATTCAGTACTTTGCCCATCTGATTGCTGACATCACCATTTGTATGGTTCAACTATTAATGAATTTAAGCATTAAGTGCAGGGGAAGGAAGCAAGAAACCATCTTTTTATGCTTAAAAAAAATTGTACAAGGAAGCTTTTTTCCCATCACCTCTCAAATTTTAGAGCTAGAAGACTGTGACAGCTTCCAATTTACTTTATTTTCCCCTGTAGTGTATACCTTCAGAGTTTTCTATATTTTCATAATAAATCTGACTTGCCTATTCTGCCAGATACAAGTTCTGAAGCCTGTGTCCCATTTATACAATTGTTTCTCTGATAATGTATACATAAGAAAGAATGAAGGCAGCAAACAAACAGAAAAAAAATATATATAGACATTCATCTTCCTTAAGAAATTATTTCCTGGAATCAATATTATGCAGTATATTCAAAAGCAACACTTAAGGATATTTCTTCAGTCTCTCTTTCAAGTAAGATGTAAAGACATCTGTATCCTTCAGTCAAACTTCAGTCACCAAAAATCAACCACACTGACGTTACCTGGACATGCACTCCTCTCTCTGGTACTATAGATTTGATTCCCCTACAAATCAGGACAAATAATCTGATTAGGTTTCAATTGCAAAGACAGACCTGTAATAGAGGTCTGTAAATGTAAAAGAGGTAATAAACATACTAAACAAAACTTGTTAAAAAGTTCCCTGCGTTATGGAACAATCCACTCCAGTGCAGTTGTGTGTAGCAGCATTAGCCCAGCCCCAAGCCAAGCTTAGAGCAGCGCTGCATGCAGAACAGCTGTGCTGCTCTGCCTTGACTCTTGGTGCAGTTATATCCCACCTTCAGTATTCCACCTTAGGGAAATGCTGAAACACACTAATGCCATGGCTCCACAGCTATTTCTCCAATTTCCACGTCAGCTGAAGTGACACAACTTCATGCTACTAAATGACAAACCCCAGCAGGATTTTCAAAGACATAGATTTTTAAAAAAATCCGGCTGCACAGATCTCAATCTCTCAAATACTCATACTTAAATCAGATATAGTAGTTACGACTTCAACAGGACAACTCGAGAGCAGAATCAGATGCACGCAAACAAGGGTGGAGCTTGTCTCAATTATGGGGACTGTGAGTTTTAGATATGAGAAGCTGTTTCTGAAATCAACAAGACAATCTTAAGAATAACTACAAAATTGTTTGGTATCTAGTTAGTGTTTTGTTGAGACCATACCTTGAAATAAATTATGGAAACACAGAATTCCTTTATTAAGTAATTTTATTTCAGTATTTGAAGTTTTATTATTACAAGAAATTAATTTTACTTGATGATTCATGAAATGGGAAGACATATGCAAGTCTTAAATGTGCAGCCCTAGACCAAACTGCTATGAAGACACTGGCTAATATCCCTGTATAAAGGAACTTTTCATTAAATAAATAGGTACAAATGAAGATCTTGGGTTATTCTAAAAAGGAGCTATAGGCATTTCCAGCTCTCAGCAATCAGCTATTCCGTGGGCAAACTTTATATGCTAAAGGACTATAAAATCAATCCTAACGAATTTAAGATAATCCCAAATCTAATTTACTTGGATTTAGATCTTGTGCTTTTTCCATTGTTTTGTTCACTCCCAGCCATCAAATCTTCTCTAGTATCAATGCAACACCATCTTATGTTAGGACTCTCAAAACCAATAAAACACTTTGCAAAATTAACTGCAGAAATGATGATGAAAACGCATGTGCATGCACGCTCAAATTCCTTTGTGTAAATCTGAAAGGAAGCTTCTCTACACAGATGGAAAAATGGTGTCGTATTCATTAAATCAGAAGTGCCTTCTGCTGTGGGTGACAGACTAACTGCAGCGAGTAGCCTGGAAAAGCCACTAGGTGAGAATGTCAACAGCATTCCAGTATCTGAAGTGCTAGAATTTAAAATTCAAGCCAGGTAGACCCTGTCCAACCTGTTCCCCTTCAGCATGACAGTAGGCAAATTACTGTTTAATTTAGCTTCTGAGGAAGTAGTACCAAGAAATTTATTTCTCGATAAGCAGATGGAGTTTAAAGTTTACATCCACCAAATTGTATATTTGTAGAAATCCTCTTATCAACATTTAAATAAAGCTAAAATAGTATATTTTGCTTTATAAAAACAATTGCTACCACCAACTTCAGTAAAAAATCTATATATGTCAACAGGACCAATATACCTAGAAAATCCATGCCCCACCAAAAATACCTGTTTTGGATAGTACATGTAATGCCACAAATCACGACAAGTTAACCACATCTGAAATATGCAAGTCTAGCTCTCAACTGTAGGAAAACTCATTCAGTTAAGACTGGTCTAGTATGTCTAAAAAAAAAAATAATAACCAAATGGCAATAAAATCAGTCACCCACAATGAAATTTGAATTTCAATGCATTTTAAGTTAAAAGGTAACAAATGAGGCAAATGCAAAATCTGAAGTGTAACAGTGTTTGGACAAGCAACACAGGACATACAATAAATGCTTAAGAACTCTTCCTGTTTGAATTTAATACGCAGTATTAATGCTACTGATTCTGAGTCCATGAAATTTGGAACTAACCCTAAAAAATTCTGAATGTTCAATATGCTCTTTTCATGAATGCCCCTCACAATCAGTAATGGTTTTTATGCTGATGTACATCAGCAATCATACGGCAACATGAAGAGAACAATCACTAGAGAGCAACAACCAACACTGCACTCAAAAAAGAGGCAAAACATTCAAAGTGTTGAAATACAGGCTGTTGAAATCCACAACAAAGACCGTCCACCATTTTTCAATTCTCACTCATATAAAAACATCTGCATAATGCAAACCCATCCATTTATCCTCAAACTAATTCATAGCTTCATCTGATGTATGGCTGTGGGTGCACACTGTACAGCAGCACAACATACGCTACACTATTCTATTCTGAACTATAACAAGCTGGGATTCTCCTTTGGGAGCCGAGACCAGCAGGCTGGTGCACAGCGACTTCACGGCACCCAACCGCATCCTATGCACCTGTCCCAAGCCAGGATCAATCCACAGAAGTGCTGGAACAACTGAGTCACAGCAAACAAAAGGACAAAACCCCAGCATTTTTCCGGCACGACCAGTCTTTTACATTTGTTACAAAAACACTGAGAGGGTCACATGCAATGAAGCACTGTGCAAGGCTGCTCTCGCCGCACGTCACCTTCTTAACTTTCATGCACCATTTCGGTACTGAGCTTCAGCTGAATCCCTCCCAAAACCTCACGGAACGAAATCCATGAACAGGGTCTGACTGTCGCCTGGTGACAGGTGAAAACCAGTCCGTGCGCTGCACAAACCCCGGTCAGCCTCTTGAGGGCCAGTCCTCCCGGACGAAGTATTTACTGTTATTTACAGCGAGAGCGGACTCGCACCGCTCCGCGCCGCAGGGCCAGTGCCTGCGCTCCCCGCTCCGCCGGGCAGCCGGGAGCGGCGCGCCGGGGGCGGGCGGCGGCCGCGGCCACAGGCGGCAGGTGACCCGCGATCCGCCGGCTCGGGCAGCTCAGCTTGTCCCCGCCTGGCCCTGGCCGGCATCGAGCCTCCGGGGTGGCCCTTCCCCTCCAGCCCTCAGCGCCGGCACCCAGGACCCGAGACCACCGTCCCCGCGGAGCCGGCCGGCCCTGCTCGCCCCGCGCAGCGCCACCAGGCCACGGGCAGCCACTCTCGACCCGGGCCGCGGCCTCTCACCTGAGCCCGCGGGAAGCTACCGGCGCAGCACCCGGCTGCCCGTCGCCCTGTGGGCCCGTCGGGCCGCTTGTCACGCCGGCTCCGTCTCTCGCTCAGGCCCCGTCCTGCCCGGGCTACTCCATAGCGACGGCGGCAGCCTCGGCGGCGGGGCGGGGGCGGGGGCGGCCGGAGCTCGGCTCACTTCCGACCCGCAGGGGCGGCGCTGGGCGCGGCCGGGGGCGGCGGGCGGGAAGTGATGCGCTCCGGCGGCTTCCGCCAGCGGCCCGGCCGCGGCCATGGCGGGGTATTTGACTCCGCGCTTCAGGAGGATCCGCAGCCAGAGCGAGTTGCAGCCGCGGCGGGGGAGCGGGCGGCGCCGAGGTGGGCGAAGAGCGTTATCCCCGTCTCTCCGCTGCCGGAGATTTTCCCCCACAGTGTCGGAAGGGCCGGGGAGCGGAGCGGGCTGCGAGGGGCGGGCGCCTGCCTGTTGTTTGTGTTGGCGACCCGGTGCCGCGGGCGGGCGGCGCGCAGAACGCGGCTAGGGAGGCTCGGCAGCTGGACAGGGAACAGAGGAGCTTCCTTCGGCCATATCCGTGAAGCTGAGCTTGAGGGGAGCGCCGCTGGTAGGGCTGGGCGTAGAGCTGGGCTGGCTGTTCCAGGCGCGGTTAATGCACTGCAAACGCTTGTTTGTCGTCTGCTGAGCTGGGCGCGATGTGTCAGGATAAATTGGGGGCTTCGGAGCACCTCCCCCAGTGAGGCTGGGAGCGCGGGGGCTGCTCACCGTGAGAAGAGAAGGCTCGGGGGTGTCTCTGTAAGTATATAAAGAGAGGTGCAAACAGGATGGAGCCAGGCTCTCTTCACTGGTACCTAGAGGTTGTGATATCGTGTGTGGCCATCTCGGCTTCTGGAGCTATTCAAAACCTGTCTGCACATGGTTCTGGGTGACCAGCTCTGGGTGGCCTTGCTTGAGTAGGGAGCAGATAGACCCCAGAGGTTCTTGCAAGCCTCGGCTGTTTTGTGGTTCTCTAATGATTCAATGTGTACGTACACAGCGCGTACATACAAAGTATGTGGTCTTAACAATGATAAAAAATCCTTCCTCGCCTGTTTTTAGTGGTTTTTCGTTTTCTTGACTCTACCATAGTGGGTGTGAGTCAGCCTACAAGGACTGAGTCATGAAATGTTGTCTTTGTAAAATTAAGCTGACTTCTGAAATTTTTTTAAAGATATAAAACTAAAATCACTGTACATTTTTAAAGTATTAAATTAAAGGCTTATTAATTTGTAAAGCTTTCCTGTAATTCTTTTGCAGACTGTGATGGTCCTTTTCAAGCAACTCAGCTGTGGAATAGTATTATACATGCCCTTCACAATCAAGTGGAAATCAAAAGACGTAGACAACACCTGAAAACATACAGAAACTGTTTCACAGGCTCCAATGCTGTTGATGTGGTGCTGAGCCATCTTATGCAAAGCATGTACCTAAGCTGCAATGATATTTCTCGGCTGAAGGGGGTCCGTGTATGCCAAGCCTTGATGGATCACAAAGTGTTTGAGCCAGTTGGAGCCAAGCTTTACTTATTCAAGAGTGGGAAAGAAACAGAGTTTGAAGACACAAACACTAGTCTCTATAGATTTGTAAATAGCAGTCTTGAACCTCTTCTTCCAAGAAAGAATAAGGACAATGGAAGCATATCTCCTGAGCAAATCTGCAAACAGAAAACGAAAAGATGTTCCAAGTGAGTTACACTGAACTATTCTAGTTTTTCTCATTTTTTAATAAGTTAAGGAGGGTTATCTTTAAATGAAGTTATGTCTGTCTAAATCAGTGCCAGTTTTGAGAAACGTCATGTCTAAATTGTAGGTGCTACCAGGTATATTTGGGTCAAGTGTTTTGGCCTGCCCTTTGTTATTTGGAATAGAGTCTGGCACAGTAGCATAAGCCTAGAAATAATTTGGTTTTGCTATCAATTGTGCTGAAATCTGAGAATTAGCATAAATGAGCTAGTTACTGAAAGTTGGTAAATGAAGTAGAACTAGCAAACAGTATTTAGAATCAATATCCTTGCCCTTTCCACAAAGCAGACGTGGATGATAGGAATTCTAGTAGCAGGAGAGAACTCCCGATATAATGAAGCCCTAAGGTTCTGATTTAAGAGCAGTTTAGTAAGTAACAGAAAGACAAATGTGTTCTAATAGTATTTGTTATACATCTAACATTTTTTTTCCCTCCCTGAGCAGAACAAAGTGTGACACAACCCTTTCAAACCCCTTAGCATTGGAAGCAGCTGATAAAAAAAAGGTTGAGGAGCTTCTTCGATCACTATACGTTCATACATCTTTACCTCCAAAGATCATGGTTAATGAACCAACTTGCCTGCTCTCAAAACGAGGTGAGGTTGAATTCTTTTTTTTTAAACTTGATTGTTCTTCACTGAATCTGGGAGTCAGTGCCCCATTTCTGTTAAACAATGCTCCACAGAGACCTAAATCTAACCTGTCACTAATGACAAAATATCTAAATGAGCGTTAAAAGGGTTAATGCTTGTTGTAACTAAACAGAAGGAAGCACAACAGGGTTATGTTTTTGCATAATGGTACTATTCATGAAAATACTACTACAGAAGGAAGTAGGTCTTAAGATTATAATTTTTATGTGATTCTTTTGCTTTTCAGTAGTCTTTTTCTTCTACTAATTAGTTTATTCTGAATCCTAATATGGTAAGGGGAGGCATATTTTTTAACATTCCTATTTTGATCGCTTCCTACCCAACACAGCAACTTCACGCTATGCTGTTACCGTGTTTTCTTTGAACACGCTAAAGATTCTTGAGCAAGTAAAAACAAAGGTTAGTTGTTCACATAAGTTCTCGTTTCTGAGGTTTTTTTTTTGTTTATTTATGGTATCAGTAATAGAAGATGTCTGGAAACAGCAAACTCTGCTACGACTGCTGCAGTTAATTGATGTTCCCTTTCTGGAAGATATCTTGGTGTCTTCAGTGAAGACAAAACCAAACAGTTTTGGCAAAGAAGAAGACATGATTATCTCAAATACTTTCCTGGACAGAGAGGTTATGTGTAGCTTAAACTTGCCCGAGTAAGTTATATATCTATGAAATGAAATTGTTAGTAAATGTTTTATTTTACTCTTGATCAAAGATTTGTGTTAAGTGAACAAATAGACATCATTATGCTTGTATACCTGTAGACAGGGGTGGCATTAGTGGGATTGACTTCTTTTCAGAAGTGGTAAGTGATTTCACAAAAAGTATATGTTTAGAGTTGGACAATTGAGCATTTTAAAAAAATTAAAACGTTAACCTTAAGTGTTATAAACACTCCTAGTGTTTATAACCAAGTTCTTTACTCTTAGGTCTCCATAACAGACATTAGAACTTGAAAAATTCTATTCTGAGGCTTTTTGTTTGTCTGAGTTCCTGGTGGCCATGGTGTGATTATACAAAGTCAATAAGGCATCTGTTGTTAGCAAGAGAAAAGGAGAAACTAAGCTGTAGCACTGAGGAATGCTTATATAATGAGAATATACAAGTGGCTGCATGTTGTCAGTGCTCTTTTTTTTGAATCTTATTTTTTGTAGTGTTCCTTTTTAGTGTACTTAGGCTGATCTGTCTTGCACATACTTCTAATGAATATGTCAAGGCTCTTGTGAATGTCTTAGGAATGACTATTTTTGTCAAATTAATGCAGTTTTTATCTGCAATTTCACTATCTTTGTTTCTGTTCTCCATGATAAAAATAAGGTTCTGTGGATTGTAAGTAATATTTGCAACTTGTCATTGGTTCAGATCAAATTATTTTACATCCAGAATCACAAAAGTAATTGCCCCTCTGCCCAACACATTTCTATGATTTTATATTCCTTCTGTACAAAGTGGTTGAGATTTTTTCCTCTTATCTCCTGACTTCTTTCAACACTAAATTATACACCTGAATTTTAGGTGCATAATTAGATTACATTTTCTTTCCTTAGTTAAGACCTAGAGACAACAGATGCTTGTGAGAACTCATGTCTTTACAGTAGATTATATAATAAACTGCTTTTGTAGTCTTCTGTAGTTTTTTTAACCCTGATTAACCCTGGTGGGTTCTCAGTGTGTCTGTTGGAGTAATGGTGGGGTGGTGTTTGGTTTTTAAATACTAGCTGAGTTCCTGGGGTTAGTGACAGTGGCATGATTGCAGCTTGTTTTGATCTGGGTTTATCTCGGGTGTATTGCCTTTTTAGCATAGGAAAAACATGGAAGTTGCTCATTTTGAGCAGGTTCTTGAACTGCTGTAGAGAAATAAATTACATAAACTGCTTAATAAACCAGTTCAGCATTGTGGTTCATATATGTGACTATATCTACATGGTTATTTTTATCTAGTTTTCTTTAAAGAATTAGATGGACCTTGAGATTGCTCAGTTGTTTTAGAGTATGGTGCTAATTACACCAAGGTTACAGATTCAATCCCATTTACTTAAGAGTTGGATGCAATGATCCTTGTGTGTCCTTTCTGACTCAGTATATTCTATGAATCTGTGAAAGTAAAAATAGGTAGAGTTTTAAAGCAAGCATTAAAACTACTTTTTCCTTCTACAGGCCTGACAGATGGCTCTATGCTGCAATTGAATGCTTGGAGTATTTTCCTGACCAATTCCTAGTGATGGTTAGTCAGCAGCTACCTCAAAGCACTAACAACCCCAGCAGTCTGAATACATACAAGAAGATTCTTTTTGATGTTATAATGAAGTATTACAGTCAAAAGAAGGACTCTCTTCTAGCCACTCAGGATTTTGATATTCATTCAGGAATTATAGAACTTATAGGTGAGAGCAGCCTGGAACAAAAAACATGGATGAAAGTTGTGTAGAGGATGTCACTAGGCATCAATTGACTGAATCATGACACCATTTGCAATGCCATTGCAGATGCATTTTTTAGGTTGGAAGGAAATGCTCAAGATCACTATTACGAACCTCTACTCGAGACAAGGACAAATTTCAAAGTTAGATCAATTTGCTTAGGGCCTGGTCCAACTGAATTTTGAAAATCTGGAAGGATAGAGATTCACCAACCTCTGTGGGTAACTCTTTCAATATGTAACTACTCTCATTGTGAAAGTTACTTACTCCAAGTCAGAATTTGCCTTATTGCTACTACTAAGTAATAACATAAAACTAAAATCATTGCTATAAAATTCTTCATGTTAACCAGAATAAGGTTTTTAAAGTTATGGATGTAGGGTCCTTTTTAGTAATAGAAGTTACTTAAAATTGTAAAAGGGACTGTTGAGAACCCTCTCATCATATGCATGCAAGTAAACCAGAAGGGTTTCATTTAAATAGAAGTTTAAGATTAATCCTACTTAAATAGGCTTTGTTGCTGCTGCTCCAGTCCTAATGGGTTGTTGTGCCTTAACCCTGGCTGCCAACTAAGTACTACAAAGCTGCTCACTATCTGCCTGCTGCCACCCTGCCCTGGTGGGGGAGGAAAAATTGGAACCTGTGGGTTGAGGAAAGAATCTTTTAATAACTGGAAAAGCATGAAATTTTGTTTGAAAGGAAACCCCCCCAAAAGTGAGATTATTATTGGGATTTAAATAAGTATTCGTGACTCTGAAAATGAATAGTAACGTTGGATATGCTGTTTTACTCCATGGCAGAAAAAGGAAAAACAGATCAAGCTCTAGAGGCATTACAACTTTATTTAAAACTATTAGCACCGAATATTAGTGAAGAACTTCACAGGCTCCTTACATTCCTAGCCATTGCATCAGAATCTGAGGGCTACAGATTGCAAAAACAAGTAAGTATCTGTTCTACTTACTGTGAAAAATAGCACTTTCTCATAGTAAAGCTAACATTTTTGTCCTGTTAAAAGTATTCTGTTTACTGCTTTTCTGTGTGATCTGTTTCCCACTCATAGCATCCCGTTATACTTAGTCTTTGCTAGCACACTGCAAGTCAATCTAATGCCAAATCTGGGTACTACTTTTTCTAGTTTGAGAACCGATTTGTGATCATCAAGACTTGTACAAAGTTCGTCTTACAAAATAGGACACTGTCAAAGCCACAGGCAGAACTGCTGGCTCAGTTTCTGATGGACAATCACTCCGAGCTCTTCAAGGTATCATTCTCCTTACATCATTGGCTTTGTCATTTTAAATGCTAAATGCCATGAATTGCCTTTTTTTGGAGTATGGCAAGCCTGAGGAACTGTGTTTTAATGTTCCATTTATTACAGTGTAATAGTAAAGCCAAACAGGGTGAGAAGCTGTTCCAGACATAGAGAACAGATTTTTGAGTGCTTTGCAATCCTTTATAAATGATATCCTCTTTATTTGTATGATTTGTATTAGGAAAATATTTAAAATATTTTTTGTAGGGTCATTTTGGCACCTTGTTGGTAATGAATGCCTACCTAAATATTTAGGTATCCTAGTATCTTTCTCCTTTAGAAGTTCCCTGGCATACTCTGAGTGGTAGAAAAATGGTATGCTCTTGTAGCCCAGTACAAGTATGTGTATAGCTTTGACAATTCTAAAAGATCCTTCAGTATTTCAGAATATTAACTTCTAAATTGAAGAAAACAAATAGAAACACAAAATGCTAGTAGCCTTTCTATGAAACTTGATGAGTTGTGTAAATATGCAGGCTTTTTCTAATCTCCTTAGTTTATGTTCCATCATATTGTCACATGTGAAAAGATGAAACTTTACTCTATAAAAACAAGCTTCACAGAAATTTGGTTACAGTAAAATACTGGTTTTTATTATACAGCACATCGATTTCCACTTCTGACTTCAGAGTGAGACATGGGAGTTATTTTTTTTTTATTATTATTTTTAATTAGCGCCAGTTTAGTTTGAAAGTATTAAGAGGCTATTGAGAGTTTTGTATTTGTTAGTACATAGCCAACCCCTCTCTTTAAATTTGTATTAAGGGTTCTGACATGAGAGTTGGGGCTTTCATACCCCCCTGGAGTTAGGGCCAAGTGGATGATGGTTCACTCTGACAGCTGCACTTGAGAGCCTTGTGTGAAAGCTGAAATCAGCTTGTTTTACAGTGCAGGTTTTGCCATGGAAAACAACATCTAGAACGTTTTGCTTCCTATTTCTTTAGCCAGAAATAAACACATGTATCTTAATAAAATTGTGTGTTTTAGTGCAATTCTATGAGAGACTTTGAATGTGTACCTAAATAAATGTGGGCATCGATTCTTCTGCATTGAACTATGTTTTTAAATTGGTATAAAAATACTGAAGTATTGCTTTAGTAATTTTTTGGGGGGTTGTATTTTCAGGCTCCTTTAACTCTCCTGGAACTAACGAGTAGGAGGCTTCAGAGTTTGCTAGAAGGGCAAGATCCAGATATCAATTCAGGTAGATGATGGGTTAATTTATTTATATAAATTATTGTATACAAACTGATTTATTATCATTGGACTATAATTCTGCATAGACTGTTCTTTTCCTTTGTTAATAGTGAAGCATTAGGGGGATTAGTGGCTAATGCACTAACTATTAAATTATATGCTATCTGTAAAATTGGTCTGAATATTGGAGAACAAGGATTCTATTAATAATCTAGTTTGGATACATTACTCTTTTTTTAACCAAATAATTACTTCTGGAAATAGTACCAAATGTGATTTGCCTCTAATTTGGTATGTGAATTTGATGGGACTTTGTATTTAGGAACAATATTCTTTTGTTTTTGCCACACTGGAAATTCTCACAGAACTCATTAGTTCGAGGTATAGATGACTTGAGCACAGACTTTGATTATTTAGTGTTTTGACTGTTAAGTATTTTGAAGAACTCTCCTTTTTCTGGGTAAGCATAAAGTTTATTAAGATCTTAGGACTTATGCACCAGTGTCAAATGCCTTCCTTTTAGGCTACACTACCCTTCTGTATGTTTGGATAATGCTTTTCAGCTTGCTTCTTTTGAGCTAACATTCTGTCTGGCCTTGCTGCCAGAAATATTTTGCAACTCCGATTAAAAGGGTTGGCTTAAATAATTGAATTTCTCTCTGACTCTTAATCTTCTTCGATTCCTGTATTGCCAATGCATTGTGTGCTTAAACACTGAAAAGAAACCACTTGGGAGCCAAATTGCACTAAGTTATTTTGCTGTGTAATATTATATTTAATACATCAGCTGCTGGAGTAGTTTGGTACAGAATCTTTTATCATCCGTGCTGAGTTCTGGAATGAGTCCAAATTCCTTCCAGTTCAGTGTTCTGAGAATCACATATTGTGAAGCCAAAGAATACAGAGATGAGCAACAGTGGGAAGAGCTGTCTGTAATATTCTCAGAGCCTGTGTGATCTCCATCAGCCCACTGAACAGACAACTGAAGTACATACCCCATACTCCATTTTTCCTACTAACTTTTGGGCTCCAATCTGGAAATGCATATAGGTTCCATCTACTTGTTGAAATAGTCATTTTCCCTTTCCAAAATCTTTCATAGGAGCTATTCTTAGCTGGTGAACTTCCTAAGTCTGGGTGGGAGCATGAAGGAAGGCTGGGAGACCCAGATAAGAAAAGGGGTCTGTAAATTACAGGAAGGTCTTATCCATAGGTCTGCTGGAAATAAAAAAGACTAAAACCAGTGAGAGGACTCTGGGGTTGGTATTAATCTAGTAAAACATTTGAAACCACAGGACTAAAGATCCATGCTGAAGTTTTAAGAGTTAATCTCTTTGCCAGTGGTTAAGCTTTCCCTTTTGAAAGACCTGTCTTTTTTTCATCTGATTCTACTAAACCATAAAAAGTATTGATGTTTGACAAACTTATAAAAGAAGGGAAGGACAGGTCCACGTGAAAACCTATGACAACTCAGGTTAGTACTACTCTCTGTGTGAAGCCTAAAGATGATGGTGTTTATAAAGAAGGATTAGTTAGAAATTTTTCCCCTTTAGGCAACTGACACTTGTTCAACCAAATTGGTCTCTAATATGTATAAAAAGAAAAAGTGTCTGTGGAGTAGCTGAATGCCAGTCTTTCCTCAGGCCAGAACTCACCTGCCCAGTGAGTCCTTGCAGGGCAGTACTTAACTCAGCACAACTTAGCTATAAAAAGGTCATGAATCTCTGCAGTAAAGTATCTCTCTTGCATCACCTCTGCTTCTGGTGCCCAAACTGTGATCAGCTGTCTATTCTTGTAGAAGCTCCTAAATTCTGTTCCTCATTTTGGTAGTGTGGATTGTAGGCAACTATTTCTCCAAAGTATTTATTCACTTGCATTAGGTACTGAGCCTTACTACAGACCGGATTTACTCACAGGGAATCTTTGGATCCTGAAAAATGCAAGGTGCCATTCTTACTGTGTAATGTTCTTCATTGTGGTTCCTGTGTGAGAACTGTATTTGCTCTTTATCTTGCAGACCGTTTCTGTTTGCAATACAGAATCTTCTATGATGCTGTATTTGTAGCACTGCTTTTTGACTTAATTTTTGCAATTAATGTTTAAATTTCCCATCCATTCTCAATGGAGACCTGTATGTTTCACATTGCTTGTAGATGTAATCACATCTGAACTGGAATATCAGTATACCTATGTTTCTTATATTTTTTTAACAAGGCTTTTACATGATGCATGAAACTTAATCTGAACTTCTGATTTCTTACAAAGGCTTCACCTTCTGTCAGTGCATTACAACTAAAGAATATGAAGATCAAAAGCAACAAACCAATCAGTATCTTCTAGCACTGATTCGAGAGATGGACAATGACCCTACTGTTCCTCTGAAGCAAAAGAAGAAATTAATCAAAGAATTCCGAAAATACCATTCTTTTGTCTACTGTAGTGGTTGTAAAACTACATGTGAGCTTTGTACTCCAAATGGTTAGACTTCAATAGTCTTTTATTAGTCTTTTCTTAAAAGAGAGGAGGAGACACATAAAAATTACTCAAAAAATGTTTTTTTTTATATCTTTACATGTTCAGTTTCAGGAAGCTACAACTATCAAAATTACTATGCTGCATTAAATCTAATTAATCTTTTAAGCAAAATATACTTAATTACTTGTAAGTAATAACAGCACACTGCTTGGGCTGCCCTGAGTTCAGAGTTTGCCACTTTTTTCCATCTGTCCCACAATCCCATGGTTTTCTATCTGAGCCACGTCTATGTTCTAAGCGATGCTTGGGTTGATAATCAGTAGGGGTTTTTAATCTTTTCTATCTTTAATTAAGACAAGATGAAGTTATTATTAAACTGTAGGTTATGACTCCTGTGGGTATTGTAGAAGTGTACAAAGTGTGTAAAAATGTTGGAAGCAGGTCAGTGGGTTTTGAATCTGCAGCAGTAACAATTTATTAGGCAGGGGAGCTGTGCATGCTTGCAGTCAGTAATTATAACCTCTTGTTACTGCCTCCCTACTGTGGCAGGCTGAGCTGCTGCTAATTCAAGTAAAAAGTTAGATTTTGAAGAAACCTGAGAAATACTTACCTTGATTTAGATCTTAGTATACTTAAGTAATTTATTTTAACATGATGATATTTGGATAGTGTCCAGTTATTTATTATAAATACTTCGGTAATGTTTATAAATTCATAGGGCAAAGCTAGAAGGTATATTGGCCTGTCTGGAGACATTGATGGTTAGTGCTACAACAACAAAGAAGTCTTGGTTCAAATCATTAAATCATGGAATTACAGAATGGTTTGGGTTGGGATGAATCTTAAAGATTATCTATTACCAAACCGCCAGCAATGGGCAGGGACACCTTTCACTAGACCAGGTTGCTCACAGCCCTCTCCAACCTGGCCTTAAACACCTGCGGGGCTGGGGCATCCACAACTTCTCTGGGCAACATGTTCCAGTGCCTCACCATCCTCACAGGGAAGAGTTTTTTTCCTAATATTGAATCTAAACCTATTCTTTTTTCAGTTTGAAGCCATTCCCCCTTGTCTTGTCACTACAATATCCCCTTGTGAAAAGTCCCTCTCCAGGTCTCTTTGTAGGCTCCCTTAAGGTACAGAAAGGCAACAATTAGGTCACCCCAAAGCCTTTTCTTTTTCAGGCTGAACAATCCCAATTGTCAGCCATTTTTTATAGTAATTAAATATGTGATATAGTATGATAGGGATTACATTACTTCTTTCATCCTTGCAACAGACATTTAGTCATGTGTTGGACAAAGACTCAAAGACTTGGTATTGGAAGGAATCTCTGATCTGGTCTCATCACTCAGGTCAAAGTGAAGTTGTTTAGTGCAGACTGCTCAAGGCCTTTTCCAGTTGAGTTTGCAATATCCCCAAAAACAGATATGCCACAGCCTCTTGGATGAGTCTGGTCCAGACTTTGACTCGTCTCACAGTATTTAAAAACAAGCAAACAAACTCTACCACCACACAAAAAAGAAAAAAAAAACCCACCCAAAATAAACTGCCTTATGCTTAGTTAGAATTTCTTGCACTGCCTCCTGTCCTTTCACTGGCACTGCTGAAGTGTCTGGCTCAGTCTTCTTCATTCCCTCCCATGAGCATTCTCAGGGCTAAACAATCACAGCACTCTCAGCCTCTTCCCTGTGTCAGTTCCTCTGCTTCCTTAGCGTTTTCTTGGCCCCAATGCTGTACTAGTTCTACTATAAGCATGATTGTTTTTTTTTTTTTGCTTCTTTAGGTATCTCCATCCTCCTGTAGGCTTCAAACATACTCAAGTCAGCAGGATCCCAAAGCTTTCTTAAAACAAGTGCTCTTTTGTTTTTAAATTGAGTTACACTGTAAGATATAAACAACACAACCTATTACCTGTACACTTAGTTAACTTGTATATTTGAAGTAGCCTTATTTAAATTACCTGGTCCTATTAGAAATTGGGGAATGTAGTGGAAATTTCGGTCCATGAATTTCTGTATATGCACTTTCTGTTTAACTGTGACTCACCAGTATGAAATACATAATTTCTAGGGGAAAAACGTCCACGTTTCCCCTTTCAGAAGTGAATGCCCCAATTCCTATAGTACAGGGCCATGTGTTCTTTTTCTAGCCCTGTGTGGGGTTTTGGTCATTCTCCCAGAAGAGGGAGCCTATACAGAAGCAGGTTATTGAGACTTGTAAACAGGAACGTATTTCCTGACTAAGTGCTTCTGATATTGAGTAGTAGAAGGAAGAGATTTTAGTTGTTTTTTTTTTCCAATCTCTCTCTCTTTTTCTCTCTGTTTTCAGTCCCTTTATTGTATTGTACATACCAGGGAGAAGTGATAACATGGTAATTTGTAGGCTGGGTGGTCTGGGGATTGCTTTGGGAAAAACTGTTGTTAAAAAATGGACTTGCACTTTGTGACTTGATATAGAATTTTCTTGTGCTAATTTAAATATAATAAAGAATTGTATAAAAAGTGATGAGTCTTTCATTTCATAGTGGGTTCATAAACAGTAAGGAAGTGTTCCAAGCAGCAGTTTATAGCTGCCCTGTGGCTCCCTTCAGTTAATGGGACAAGAAGCTGAGATTGATCTAGTTCTGCAAAGGAAAGGAAGAGCTCTTGAGAGCCTTGTTTTATTCACTGACATTCATTTTTACCCTGACAGGAGGATCTACTCACCTTTAATCTCCTGTTGACAGAAGCCTGTTATTTTACATCTAACGGCCCACTGAACAGAACAGATTTGGTGAACTATAGACTACAGGTTTGCAGTTAAATTCCAAAATTAGAAAAATTTCATTGGGCTTTAGAATGTCCTGGCATGTATTTTTAACAGTATTTGACACAGACTCATGAGGTAGGGAAACTTGGGACCTGTCAGTCATTTGTTTGATTTCTAGCATAGAGCTATCAAATAAATTGCCAGTATGTATTTGTTTGAAGTAGAGACTATTCAGAGTGAAGAGTTTACTCGAGGTACATTTCAGTGCAGTCTTATCCAAGCACTTTCAGAGGCTTGCTTCTATTTGTAGAGCATTCATGTTTACTCCTACCAAGGAAAAAGTTCATTAGTGCTTTCATGAGAATGTGTATGTTTCTTTCAGCTTAAAGCATGCTGATACTTTCACGAAGCATTAGTAAAAAAACCAGCTTCTCCATGTGGCTATCAAAGTGGCAGTGTCATGTAGGACTCATGTCCTACACAAAGTCATACAATTGGAGTCCAGCAATTTGTAGGTGCTGGTCTCATCCCTTCATACCCTAGCTGCCTCCTGTGTGGCTCACATAGCTGCTAACAGCAGGAGGAAGGTACCTCTTTCATTCCTTTCAGCAGGTTAGACTAGAGGAAAGCAATCATGAGCTGGCAGTCCAAAGTAAAAAAGATCATATTCACGAAGAAAGATATCTCCCACTCTCTGAAACACTGGCTGCTCTTTGATTCTGCCCTTATGCAAGGTAGCCAGGTAAGTGCACTGCTTACAAATATCTACTGGTTTTGTTAGGGCAGATGAGAGAGGGAATATGAGACACAACAGGATACTCCAGTGTCCATTATCCACCCTGTCTGAGCACCTGTCTATGTCTTGGCAAGCAAGCAAGCCAGGTGGGGCACCCCCATCTAGCCTGGCCCTCCCAGCCTTCTAGCTGGCTCATAGCCCAGGCTTTTCCTCCTCCTGCATGCCATGCTGCACAGACTGATGGCAAAGTAACACAGCTTCTGATGCCAGAAATAACAAAGACTAGGGTATTTGTGTTTATCTAGGATGTGTGGAGAGAACTCACCCAGATGGGTCATCACCCAGGACACAGCTGAAAGCTTTGTTCACCTTTGTGGCACCTTCTTTTCAGAAAGATGAGGGGAGTGGAAGGAAGCTTATATGCTCAGGCATTGTTTAAAATAAAAACCAAACAAAAAAACCCTCAACCTACTAAATTAAACACTCTATAGAAAAAGAATTATTCAAATTATTCTTTTCTCAAAGCCTAAGCATATTGTCAATTGCAGTGGTCACATTTCAGGTATATTTCTCTCATAACTACTCACTGAACCAAAAATAAAACTTACGTATTTATTTCAGGAGAGGCAAAATCAAAGGCTTCTTTTGAGATGTGTTTAATGCCCTTTAGTGGAATACTAGTGAGTGAGAATAATACTCATTTTGGGAAAAAAAACACGAACCCATTTCTTCTCACTATATATTAGCACCACACCAGTACAAGCAATTGATATTTTTATTGCCTCATGCACTGAGGTTTTCTGCAATAAAAATACAATGAAGCTATCAGAAAAGATACAAACATAATGAAATTGCAATGAACATATTACACTTGAAAAACTTTATTTCTAAACTCTTAGAATTATTTTTTCTCAACCCAATTCAATACAGGAAAGCTAAAACACAATCCTAGCTGATGGAAAAGAGGTTGTAGTTCAAAGAATTCCATTCTAAGTAAATTAATGGAATAACAACATATCCAACTCTGCTACCTATATATCAAATTTCTCTTCACAGATATTGTGTCCATGTTCTTCATAGTCTTCTCTAGTTACTATCATGTCTTCAAAGTCATCATTTTCAGAAATGAGCTTCCCACCTTCCCAAGAATAAGTAATAGGGCTGGAAAATGAACAAAGTTATTATTACTCCTCTATAGATTCATTTAAAATAGAAATAGGCAGTGATGATTTCCAAGACTTCTATTTAGCCATACCTATTTAAACTATATGTTTGATTGCTAAATCAAACCATCCAGCTCCAGAGAAGTTATGAGACAGTTTGAAACTTTAGCAGGGCTAGCTGACTTGGCCCTTTAAAAAAGGGCCTCTGAAGGCAGGTGTAAAGACGGTACAACATGGATTTGTCTTTGTATTTACTTTGCACAGATAGTAATTCTTTAATAGTAAAAAACTCTTTAACAATACTTTTTTAAAGTAGATTTTTTTTGTATATTCAAAATATACTTGTTTTACCTCCTATGTTATCCCTTCCTAATCCCTGAAGTGATATATTAATAATGACATGGTAGTATTCAGATGCTGAAAATTCTAAGTAAAAGGCTAAGTTCTAATCTTAGGTACTTACATACTCAGCTAATGACAATACAGTAGTCCTATTTATCCTTTCAAAGTAAAAAGGCTGACCTTAAAAACACTTCCTTAACTTTATTAGCTAAAGTACAGAGCAAGCAGGTAATCCCTAGTTTATCTGGTTTGTCTGAAAATACACTGATTTAAAACATCCTTCTTGAACAATTTTTGTTTACTTAATATTTGAATTAATGCCTTTACTCAATCTACCTTCTTAATCAGCAAAATAAACCTACTTTATTGTTTGTGCTGCTAGCCCCTTCTATTTAGTAGTTCTTACTTAGGACTTACTTTTCAGGAAGAACAACGGAAACATCGTAGTCAGTTGGAGTAAGACATCGAACTTCAGAATAAACCCTATCTCTGAAGCCTGGAAAAAGCGTGTTTCCCCCAGTCAGAACTATGTTCTTGAAGAAATGAGGCTGCATTTCTGTAAAATAATTAATTAAATCTGTAGTTAAGAGATGGAACATGTATCTAAAGATTAAAGGTGGTGATTTTTCTGATTTTGTTATGAATTTGAACAGAAATAAGAAATATGCATAGAAAAAATTTATGATCATCTTATCAGCATATCTGTTAAAGAGAAATATGACAAGGTGATCAATCACCCTGTGTTCTCCCTGATTTCAGAATTTGGCTTTGATAACTACTGTTTTCTTATATTTTATTAAATTTCATGTTTGCCAACACCGTTCCCCTTTCAAAAGGGATTTTAAGTGACACAGGCTTTTTACGAGTACATTAATAGCCTAAATGTTGCCATACTAATATGGCATCATAAAACCTATGAAACTC